TAGGCCCTTTAGAGATATCGATATGTGTCCCCATGCGATATAATACAATACGACCACGATTTTGTTGTGAAATGCTGGGAAGTTGTTCTTTTTTGTAGCGACAATCTTTGAACATTTCCAAGGCCAACTCCTGATTCACCTCCAGTCGCTCAAATTTGAGGTCTTTAGCGGCCAATTTGATCATCTCGGCAGAAAGTGCTCGCAATTCACTTTTAGTTGGTTGCCAATCACGAGAGCCAAGTACGATGTCATGAATAAAACTACCCGTTTTAACTGTAATAAACTTAAATTAAATAATTACGAATCAATTATGCTTAACTTACTATTTGGGCCTGGAAAGCTATGCAATTGTAAGTGAGCATCCTCTTTAAAAGCATTTTGTAAAGCAGCTCCCAGCATAAAACTACAGGACCGCCAAAATGTTCTACAAAAGTATTCGTTAAATTGATAATGTTTCCAATAATTGTATAAGTGTATACTTATTGACCACATGTGGATCAGATATAGTGAAATGCAATAATTGTAATGTGCAACTGGCTTGTAAAGGTCTGTGCATGTCCCAAGGTACATTACCATCAACCAGACTTAGTACCGAACGCTTACAGTGACCTTCAGATAAATGTTGAGCACAATTATAAGGTGTAGACAAGTCCCGGTTCATCACCAAAGTTACATCTTCTGGTAAGCCCAAGTAACGTACCTCGATTTTCTCAATGCGTCCCACATTTTCTCGCTGTCGTTTTTGTTCCGCAGTAAATAATTCGTTACGTTGTTTCAAAGATAAACTAGAACAACATCCTACGAAACATTAAAAAAAAAACAGAAGAGTTTTATTAAATATATATTCTAACCTCATGCAACTTATTTTTGAAAAAGAATCTTACGAAAATTTTGTATTTGCGGCAATTTTCCTATCACTTTAAAGCTCTTATATATCACTTTACTAACGGACATGGTTTCGGTTACTAAATAAATAAAACTTTCTTTAACATATTTTCATACAATAAATTCGAACATAAAATTACTCTCTGAATGAATAATTTCGGCAATCTTTCTCTTTAATAGAAAGTTGTAAAGTCGCAGTGATGTTTTTTTTTTTAGCGATGCCAGATTATTTTGTGCAGCTTTATGTAAAAGGTTTTTGGGGATGACACAATGCGCTTAAGTACAATAATGCGTTATTCCTACTTTCGCGACTGGACATTAACTTTGTCGAATTTTTGCAAGAGGAAATGATGATGTTCTTTATTTTCTTATAAACATTTAAAGCTATTTATTCAATCTGTAGTTATCTTACATTGTATATTTTTTATATTACGTGACTTGCTTATTTGACTAATCATGTGCCCTATTTTGCAAAAAACGAAAAACAAGCAATAAAGATCATCTGTTCTAAATTTGAAATATATTTATCAATTTATTAGAAGTTTTAAATGGTAATTTCCAAATTACGGATCAATTAATACACAAAAGTATACATAATATATATATGTAAATATACCTAATCATTATTCAATAAACAAGCTTGTTTACTTTAATGTTAACTTCTTTATTAATATTTTTTATAAATTTGCTGTTTATGGTTAAATTGATTTCTTTATTTTTGGTTTTAGAACCAAATGATTCTGTTTATATTTTCCTGCAAAATAATGTGGGAGCGTGGCTGCTAGTCTTGTAACTGGTAAGTTGACAGCTTTTAACCCGAAACACCTCATTATGGCAGCTTCGTATAAGAAGAAAAAGCAAATTAAGCCAGTTTGTACCACTATTATTCATATCGCGATCTGGTAATAAAAGCATTTCATATGAGAATAATCAAAATCTATCAAACTTGACACGAAAACAGCCGTTTTTTTTAGTAAAGTGTAGCAAAACTACTTAGTTTTCTTTTGCATTAATATAAAGAAAAATTGGAAAAGAAAGTTTGCTCGTAAACGGAAGCCTATGACCAGACACGCCAGAAACTGTACAGCTGGTGCTGTATATACTTATAATGAGAAGAAAAAGGACGCTAATGAGTCGGGATATGGCACTAATGCTCAACGTTTAGGTAAAGATTCCGTAAAGCCTTTCGATTGTTGCTGTTTGACTTTACAACCTTGTCGTAATCCTGTTATATCCCGAGATGGTTACTTATTTGATAAGGAGGCTATTTTAAAATATATAATAACCAAGAAGAACGAATACAGTCGTAAATTAAAGGAATACGAAAAATTAAAGAAAGCCTTCGAAACTAAACAGACGCAAGAAATTGAACGCCAGCAGCGCATAGATATGGAAAAATTTGTTAAAGCTGGCAAACCTGTGAACGGTGCCGTACAGAAACATTTAGGTGTTCAAGCGACGACCAGTAAAGATGCCGATTCCATTTCTAATATGGCAAATGGTAATGAAAAGAAATTGCCCAGTTTTTGGTTACCGTCAGAGTCCCCTAATGCAGGGAACATGAAATTAGAAAAGCCAGATTCGACGATCTTTTGTCCAGTGTCCGGCAAACCTTTAAAAGTAAAAGATTTAATAAACGTTAAGTTCACATTATTAAAAGACGGAGATACCAGCACATCGTTAATAGCAAAGGAAGTGAGATATATGTGTCCTGTGACACATGATGTATTAAGTAATGCAGTACCTTGTGCAGTTTTACGAACGACGTTGGTTTGCTAACACAACGAAGATTTTTAAGTAAATTTATGAAATTTTTTTTCTACAGAGGTGACGTAGTAACCATGGAATGCGTGGAAAAGTTAATTAAAAAGGATATGATACACCCTTTAAATAACGAAAAGCTCAAGGATAAAGACATCATACCGTTGCAAAGAGTATGCCTTTTCAAATATTCCTAGTTAATTTGAATGGTTTTCAAAATGTTCGCTTTTTTTCTCGTTATTTACCATTGTCTAGGGTGGTACGGGTTATGCGTTAACCAACGCAGGCCTAGAGGCTAAGGAAAAACGTCCCATGTTGCAAGCTTGAATTAAAAATAATTTCTTATTTATCAATGTAATAAAAACATATTATTAATAAACCTCATTCATCGCTGACTAATTGAACTTAAATTCAGTTAAAAAATTTTAAATATCGTTTTTATTCAAAAATTTATTTCTTAAATTTTTTAAATTAATTTATATTGAAGGCATTTCATCAAAATAATTGTTGTGCGCATTAATAAGCGCAAAAAATCTACTACAATGCATGCGGACGTGAAAGACTTATTCACGGTTTTGATGCGTCGATTCTTTTTGCCCGTGTGTTGTATATTCTCATTTATAAAAAGAAAAGGTATATGCCGTTTTTCTTCCTCTTAATTTAAAAGAGCTTATAGATTTTTCATCATATGTATTAGTCATGAGATCCAATGTAAAAAATCTCATTGTCTATGTAAAGAAATTCAGTCTATGACAAAAACAAATGGATAGAATGGAAGATTTTATTTTATACCCTCCATCGAAATATGTGAGTGTGATAATATTGACAAAGCTTTTGCAATATGCAGAAGCAAGCTTCCGACACTATAAAGTGGTCTTATACAGTTCCTGATCGGTATGAAATTCTGAATTCCATCTTTGTGCAATGTCTATAATAACTATCGACATTCATGTCACCTCAAGGCGCCTACACTGCAACATAAGCTAAGGCTAGCTTCGATTCCTAACCGCTTTCCGTACTACTCATAAACTATAGCATATACAATGATAAACGTATTCTGTGGTTGAGCATATTTTACATCAAATAATACCGGGATATGGTTTTTATTATTTTTTTTAAGATAGGGATGGTGGGTATAAAAGACGCGGTCACAACCAATCATAATTTCTTCACTTTTTTTGTTTTCTTGGTCACAATACTGAGTTGTTCTGATGTGTATGCAGCTGCAAGACACATTGATACGCTAAGTGTATGTATGTGTGAATGTGAAGGTTTTCGCAAATGCATGCATAAAAAAATTCATTAGTTTAATAAATTGTCTCGCTTTAAATTTCGTTCCTTTCAACCTAAAAAAATTTAAGAACTAAGTATATTATAATACTGCGTCAATGCATAATTTCTTCTCAAACTGCAGCAAAAAATCGTATTCGAAGATTAGTTTGTTCACATTTCCAAGTTCTTGCATTGTAGTGCTGTAGTGACGTTATGTCCGGATCTTTAAACTTTTAAATTACTTAAAATCGATGACAGCTCGGCCTGATCGATGTCATTACTTGCTGCTGCGACTTCTTTAGATGGTTTAACACTTTCGCGGACGTGAATGCTATAGCGTATAGCTCAAGTCAATTATTTTTATTTGATTTTACATCATTTTTATATATTAATAATAATTAGTTAAAAAAGTGTTGTCGTAGATGTTATGGCGTTCATTAGAAATATACAATTATGTTATCGCTATCGTTACCAAAAATTTTTAATCCGATTTCGCATATAACGACAAGGGACAAGGTATATCAAGTTAGTGCGGACGTCTGTAACACTCAGAAGAGCTTAAGGTAGACGCATCTTTTATTCTGAATCTATCTAACCCTATCTGTATGTAAATATGTGTTCAAACTACAGGTCTCAATTTTAGAGATATTTTAATGAAATTTGGTACAGTGACATGTTTTGACCCAAGGACTTACGCTATTGGAAATGTTTTCGATCGATGCACTTTGTCGACCACTCCCCATAAAATACCCTATGCTGCAAAATTCCTTCTATGGGAAAAAATTGCAATTTTCAAAATTTCTTTGCAAAAGTGACTAAGTTTCAGGTTGATGTGAAAACTTTCGATCGGCTGGGACTATGTTTTGAACCCTCTCTCATGTAACCTGCGAAAAATAAAGCTTTATATAGTAAAAGGATAAAATTTCCAACATTTTATTGTGAAAGTTAGTAAAGAAATCTATCTTACCAAATTTGGATTACGCCAGTCTATTTTTTTGGATACCATCGCCCATAGGGATTTTCATGACAGTTAAACCCTTATATGTCATAAAAAGTTCATTTTTTTGTGATGAAAATTTGTTTATGATAGTAATTAAATAAAAAAATTAAGAGGACATAATTTGAACCACATGGATCTATATCTGCCCCGACTCCTTATAAGATATCTCATTACGTCTTAATAATGCATATGAGCGCTTCAGTAAAAGAAATGAACGATAGGAAATTTGAATAACATAGATCTATTTTTTTTTTTTTTTTTTGGGATACCCATTTATATAGGCGCTATCATAATACGCAAACTCTTATATGAAAAATATGCGGGCGTTTCATGAAAATGACGTGTACTCTATTGTGTATTATTACCAAAACGAGCCACTGGGCGAAGTAGGGTAGGGTATGTAATAGTCGGCATCGCTCGGCTATAATGTTCTTAGTTGTTTTTCAGGTTTGTCAAATGATTTAAACAACGATACATCATATGTTGAGGGACGGAACTTTTACAAAACGGATTGGAAGTGAGAGTTTTCGTTTTCATTTAATGTAATCAACGATTGGAGAAAAAGAATAAAGAAATTTCTCGAAATGTTGTAATTAATAATATTTTTTAAGTTTCTTCTGTTTTTTCGCGCTGGTAGGTAAATCATGTATATTTTTGTGAGCATCACCAGCAACACTCAGCTATGTATTATATTAATATTCGAACGTTACAATTTCAATAGCAGACAGTCTGGCTAGACGGACTGACAGACATCCCCCTTTAGATTTTACATTATTTACTGTATACATATAGGCTAAGGCTCGACTTTCTTGTACTAAAACGCACCTATGCACGATGCGAGTAATGGACGGAATTTTGCATTGATTATTTATTTTCTTATTTCATAGGATATTTAATAATTGTTTCTTTGTTTCTTTGTTGACCAAGCTAATATACCATTTTCGATGGTATCATTATTGTGGCATTGATAACGTAAAACGAATCAATCAATTATTTCAATACCTTTACATATGCAAAAGCTAGAGACGGGAAAACGAATATATATATATATATATATATATATATATATACATATGTATATGTATCTTTGCTGTGGCATTGTGTTTAGACTCATTACATCTCGGTCTAATCAAAAATATAAATGGGTATTTGATGCGTATCTCTCTCTCTCTCTCTCTCTCTCTCTTTACATACGGTATCATAAAACTGGTATGTCCGGCAGTCCTCATGAGAGGTAAGAAATTTCTTATTCGCCTTGATAAGAGATTTCGCAATGAATTTTTCAAAATTTTATGGGTCGCTCAGTCAATGAATTGCTCAAAATATCGCGTTTATATAAAGTTTTCGACAAATGTTTTAGATAAAAGTTTTAGAATAAAAATATTTTCAAAAAAAGTATTTTAGTGAGATCTCTCAAAATACGAGGGGGAATGAAAAATATTATATATAGTTACTATGATAATGTCGAATATCGTCGTTGGTGAATTAGTTTTGAAGCGAAAATTTTAAAAGAAACTTTGCGCACAAAGATCCGTTAATTGTAATCTTTAAAAATCGGGTGTAGTTGCGCTTCTCGCAGTATGTCTGTGCGGAAAGACAATTTATCGTTGTCATTTGTTGTTTAGTTTTTAGCACTTATACTCATGTTAATATTTTTTTTTTTTTTTTTTTTTTTTTTTTTTTTTTTTTTTTTTTTTTTTAGATGCATTTGTTTCGTACGTGTACGTTGTGCTGAATTACCTTAACCTGTTAGCTACCAAATTTCGTAACAATATCTTCTATTAGTCTCTTCAGCATATCCCATCTTGAATAGTACGACTTTTTCGTTGATTGCATGGGATCTGGGTCCTTTTAGTGATTATCTGTATTGCTGTACTAAATATTGGATCATAATTGTCTATGGTTTGAAAATGACTCTCTCTCTCTCTCTATGGTTATCTTTGTGACCTCATTACGCTCATTTTCAATGGTTATCAGAATTCGTAGCTGATAAGTGGAAAGTTGGAATTTATGGAATATATTCAATTATTATATATATATATTTTCAATTATTCGATACATTCGCCACGTGACAATGTCTGGGGGCTTTATTCATTTGTTTCACAAAAAAAGTTTAAAAATACTCGCAAAGATGCATAATTCGGATTATCTGCAATAGTTCCGTGCTCGGCCCGCAAAAATATTGTTTGCATATTTTGTTCACTTCTTGCGTTCTTCTGTTGCATTCTTGCATTTGACAGTTGAATTTTTTACGAGAGATTTAATTAATCATTTATCCGGCTGCTTATGACTTAGTAAGGTAGGTGAAGTTATTATAACTGTAAGTTTATATTGATCTGCCATTGTTAAGTTCGGTAGAGTACAAATAAAGGATAAAGAAATATATATATACGGATAAATTCTGAAAAAATGCGACATTATGTAATTGCCGTTCTTTTAATTCTTTAGTCATTAGGTTCGCCTTTACTCAAAATTGATCTATCGGGTATAATCGAACGCATTTAAGCTTTCATATAGCATGATTAAAGCTGTTTCTCAATGTATCGAAGAGAGGCGAACATACCGGATTGATTCTTGTTCTTATATCATCTTGAGAAAAGCAGGACACGAAGCTGTCTCTCCAGAGCCCTTGACTAAATATTACGTAATTAAGATGAGTGACTTTTCAAACTCAATTTCGCAGTTAACTGATTAATTATAGATATGTAAACGTTTATTACACTGCGTATAGATATTGCCGTTACTCATGTGTTTGTATATTTGCTGTCTGGCTATCATTATCGTAAAAAATGTGTAAAAATTTTCGGCAATATTTTTGGAATAAGGTAGACATAAAATATATTTTTATTAATTAATATTAATTATGTCTGATCAGGCCTGCAAAATATAAGTTCTTATGTGCGAATAAAATTTATGATATTAATAGCAAAGTATATATATATATATATATATATCGCTGTTATATCTAAAATCGAAAGATATTCACTATTTTATAATGTTTGTAACATTTATTTAAAACACTTTTAAAATGAACCTTTCATGGCAGCTAAGCTTGACTTTGAGTTGTTCGCGTATTCAAAAAGTGCTGGAAAGTTTTTGAAAGAAAATTTAAACTTATGCATTAAATAAGAACTCTTTCTATTCGTCCGATTAGAGTTTTTCGAAAAAGTCTTATCATATACTTTATGAATGTGGAAACTTTTCTAACTCATTCTGAAGATTCATTCTGGGACCATCTAACCCTATTGATATGTTGAAAGTACCTGGGGGATTTTATATCAACAATATTTTATAAGATTTTATAAAAAAAAAAAAAAAAAAAAAAATGAAAAGAAGAAGCTTTGGTTGCTAAAGCTTATTCTACTTGCTAATCGTAAAATTTACTGATCTAGTCTTTGGTCTAGTAGTTTGCGGTAATCCCAGGCATCGGATTTCGTAGGAGACATTCATTTGAATTCTAAGCGAAATAGTGTTTGTTCGGCTTAACATTTAAAAGAAATTTCAAGAATTTCACCTCAAGAAGTAGCCTCTGCTTTCTCAACTTTCTCAAGAGGTACTTGTTCATTGTGTTAGAAAAAGCCTTGCATGCGCTAATCGGTTGAAATGGGAATAGAACAAGCACGACAACTATATATATGGCTATACGCGAATCTTTTCTACCTCCCATCTTGATTCGAACATATAAAATAACCTTTAACTTATTGATGATCTAACACGTTCACACACACACATAAAAAATGTTAGCCATTTTCTGCTTCTTATATGAAAACCCACAGTGCATATCTACATGTAGTCTTTTTACAGCTTTTGCTCGCCTCTTACCACAATATAGCTTTTTATGAATCGGGCAAAAGTTAATAATGCCATATTATTAGAAATCTCGACTATTGAGGAATATTTCACTGGCTTATAACAGATTTAACTTATCATTTGTAGGAAGGTCCTTTTGTAAAACCCAATGCTCTATGAGAGGTCAAAACCCCCCACAAGCAAAATATGAAAATAAAATTTTGTTCGCGTCGTCACAACAATAGAAGAATGTCGTGTAAATTTGGCGTAGAAAATTTTATGGGTGAAATCACATTCTTGAGCTGATTCTCATCCTTAAAATACTACACTGCAAATTAGATTTATACACACAAGTGTATAAGAGCTTGAGTTACATTAGCATCCTTATGCGGAATGGGAATCCGAAAAAGCAATCAATGTTGTTGACATCTACGATAACAATTGTTTTATGTATGCAATCATTATTCTGCATTCATTTTCTTTCATTCTCGCTGAGGAACAACAATTTTTAGTTTTATGTTAGTATTTAGTGGAAAATTGCATGAATGCAATGAAAAAACTGCGACTAATGGCAATTATTTCAAATTCATGAAAACTAACTGAAGGAAATTCCAAAAACTCTATTCCTACATACCTATAAGTTTATAATTATGAGCTTTGCTTCAATTTGAAGAAAATCTTCGCTGTAAACGCATCATTACGTGATGTTATATAAACTGTACTCCTGCTCTGTGTACTCCTGCTCTATATATTTGTGCTGTATTTTCTTAAAAAAAAGTTTTATTATAAAAAAAACCTTGATTATGAAGTTAATCTTCCAGACGACAACCTTTACATACTGCCAGGGACATGAGGCCTGCAATGCAAAATTCATTCGGATATAGAAAAGCCTCGATTATGGAATTTATCTTCTAGACGAGGATATTTACACATTACCGAAGGCATGACGCCTGCAACGGAGAATTGTACGGAATAAATAGTTCGCAATGCATTTCTGGCATAAGGCAGGATGAGAATTTTAGGTTAAATGAAAAATTAGGGAAATCGATTATTGGCACCATTAAGAAGAGGAAGCTTAAAGTATAGACGTATACACGGGCAGCTAGGTGATGACGATGAATATTATATTTATTGGCAAGGTGGAAATTATCGCCAAATTGAGAGAAAGAACAAGACCCGAGCTATGACATGAAACCGAACCCACCGAGTATATCGTCAAATTGAGAGAAGTACAGTTTCTATCGCCCAACCATTCGAAGAGAAGATCGAATGAAAACGTGCATAAAACGCGAATGTCAATAATAGAGCATCAGCCGGGTTGAATAAAAATTAGAAAAAAATCAGGCAATAAAGAGGCGGCTCTGGACATCGCCAGTCTAGAAAAAGAACGAAAACGTTGGATGAAAATTTAAGTGCACAACTTACTAGAATAAAAGGGCAATGAAGAATGAGTTCCAGATAAGGGGAAGAAAATTGAATTGTTAAAAGCAAACATTTACCCGAAGTCACGAACCCAGCACTCAATAGCTGAAAATTAAAGCAACGTTAACAATATGCACCATTCAGTATGAAGAAGATATGAAAATGGTGTCCCACGAGAATATTCGTTCGTTGCGGTAGTTTGTGGTTTCCAAAGCCAATTAAATGTTGTTTAAACAAAGATGAGGTTACGTACAATTTTTGAGGCAATCCAATAAGAGGCCACTAAACGCCACTGTAGAAAAAGACTCTTTTGTATCTGCTCTACTTAGCACGTTAGGTTAAAGAAAATCGAAAGCTTTCTAGATATGCTCTGATTATTTATTATGGCATTAAGCGCGGAATGCTTTTCTTTCTTCGGATACAATGACAACTTTCGAGAACGCATAGATCGATTTAGTTTTTTCAAATATCAGCAATTCGATGGACAAGAGATGATGAAAACCTAGCAGACAGAAGCGGCTGACTACTAATTTTAGATTATATGTGAAAATTATCAGGCTTTCATGAGTAATCAATTAAAACTTGAAACATAAAATTTCAATGCTTTATATAATACGGTGTATGCGTGGCCGATTTTTCACATTTTTATATAGATACAGTAGCATCATTCATAGACTGCAGATATACATCGAAATTTGTATCGCTGCAACTTATGGATAATGAACGGATAGGCCAAATTTTCCGTTTTTCAAAACAGACGGATATTCGCAGCTTGTATGTCCTTTGATCAACATGACGCATTCTCAGCATCAGTAGGAAATCCGGCAATTTTTTTTCTCAAATTTAAAATCGATATGTAAACTCATGGCTAGGAGAATGAATTGAACAGACAGAATGACTTACAGACGGATTTATCTTATCTAGATTATGTATACTCTGTAGGGACCTTCTGAAGAAGTTTCTTTCCACTCCTTGCAAATTTTAGTGATTAAATGATTATCTATAGCTTTCGGTAGTGAGTATAAAATAATTTCGATTTCGATAAGAGTTTGTAAACTAATTGTAATTGCTTCGATTAATTGCGTCGGTTTATAGCTTAACTTAATTGACTCTGTTAATTAAATTAAACTAATAAAAATTAAAATAATAAATTTAATTAATTAATCATTTAACTAACTGATTAATCAAATCCTTTATCGATTCCCAACGGTTCTTATCGATCACGGAAGTTTGGATTGAAAAAAATTTCAATCCTTGCGAAATGTTTGAACCGACTCTTATTTTGCAACATTCGCAAGTAAGATCAATAATAAGATACCTTAAAGAAAAAAAAAAAAAACTCTCCCTCGTTTATAATTAATCACCATCAACATCCAGATCTTGCAATGCCACATTTTCTCAGTAAATGTTCTAAATAGAATATTGTCAACTTTTTTTTAAACGAGTGCCAAAACAACCAAAACTAATCTGTCCGTTTCTCTAATGGTCTGTTTGTGCTAGCCCATAAATACAACAAAAGACACAACATGTTACATATACTCAAAAAGATTACAACAACACTATTAAGCAATAAGATTAAAAAGAAGAGCAATATAACGATGAGGCAAAGTATATATATATAAAAAAAAATAAAAAAAAATAAAAAAAAAAAGAACTAACGTCTCAGAGTAAACTATGAATAAATATACGTATTTATGTGCATATGTATCAAAAGCGCTGGTAAGAAGGAAGCGGGTACCGTAAGTATATTGATAAAAGAAAAGAAAAAAAAAATTAGTATAAGTATAATGAGTTGGATGGACATTTAGGAAAATCTCCAACCTCTGAATTATTTTGGCAAATTAGAAATAAGCAAACGCGACACAAAGGTGGACACGCAGCCAAACAGTAACGGGTTATTTTAAAAATAACGAAAAAAAATAAAAAATAAATAAATAACAGAAAAAATTATTTGCGATAAAAGTTTTCCTCATTAATAAAAAAGGTATAAAAAACAAAAAAAATAAAAAAATATATAATAATAATAATAAAATAATGCAAAAATGAAAAAATAGTTAATAGTACGATTAACAATTTTTAATAAAGTATTTTTAGCTTACAAAAAAAAAAAAAGAAAAACACTCAAGATTCTGAAAATTAGTTTAAAAAATAAATTTAGAAAATATAAAAACTTATATTGTTTATCCAAAGAAAGAATTCGAGAAATATTTATTTTATCCAAAATATTTAGATCCTAATTAACTGATCTTGTCAGTTCCTTACAAAGACTTGAATGAAAGTTTAGCTTAGCTTTTCCTTTACACAAAATTTTCTTGGAAAGTATTTTGGAGAATGGCTTAAAAAAAATATTCTTAAAAGCTTGCAAAAACAAAAAAAAAACACCAACAACAACAAATTCAATTAAATTAAATGACATTATTTTTTAACGTGTATGCATATTTACGTACGGCGCATACGGCTGGAATATATTATTATCGACAACAATAGCAAAAAACGATATACAACAACAATCTTGAAATTAACAAAATTTTATATGTCTAAGTGCACCTTGGATTTTGCAGAGTACATTGAGATTTGGCCACAAGCGAACAAACGACATGATTTCGAAATAGCACAAATTTTAAAAATAATACCGCAAACCATACAATGCAATGAATACACCGTTTGTAAATAAAAACAACAAAAACAAAGCGAAATACAAAAACGAAAAAAAAAAAAAGTAAAAGAATTTTATTTAACCAGCTAGCCAGCCAACCAGCCAGTGCATCCATCTAATGTCACATAATAAACAACAACAACAACAACAACAGCGACAACATGTAAATGCATACATACATACATATGTTCATTACACATAATCATCCGTATAAGCTAGCGAAAAACAATTCACATGCAATAAATAAGTGGTACCTAAAGCATTTCAAAATATTGGAATGAAAGAAAATTCCTCATTTGAAATTAGATGATCTTTGGTACATACACAAAAGATATAATAAGTCGTAAAATACTTGGAGATATTTCGTTGTCACATATATATAAGTTTATACAAGTATATAGAAAACTCGTGAAAACATATACACGCTTAGATGTACGTGTATGTATGCGTATATATATATATATGTATGTATATGTGTACGCGTATGCATATAAATGTATACGCACATATAAATAAACCTTAACATATACATGTGCATGCACACATTTATATACATATAACAACGGCATATCTCCAAATATTTTACGACTTATTGTGCTAAACATGTAAAGAGAAAATATATATATATATATATGTATATATATATATAAAAGGAATATACCTTCAAAATTTTATACACGACAAATGAAAATTTCTGAAAATTTTGTATTGCTTTAGTTGTTCTTGTTTTTGTTTGTTTTCTCGAACCGGTAAAAATAGCCCTCGGATAAAAATGTAAAACACTTACGCTACATACAAGAAAAAAAGGGAAAAAAAAAAGAAAAAAAAAACATATTGTATACAAATATCGGGTACACATGCACATACATTTAATCGGCTTACACAGAAAATAGAATTTTGAGGTGGACGAATAATACAATTTGTCTTAAACTATTACATACCAGTTTAATGAGCTTTTAAGTGCGTTAAAGATGTTTTTAAGAAAGAAAGAAAATACCATTGTCACCATTGTTATGTTTTTGATTATCCTTTTTTGTTTTTTACTGATAAGACACAATTTCTTAAAGAGGAAAATTTATAATTACCAAAGCATATATGATTATAATTTTTTCCTTCTTTTATAGGTCTTTTTTCCGATTTAAAATGACTTTGCTCTATGCGTAAGCATAATCTTTTTGATTGATAAACGCTTTCGCATATAAACAATATTGTGTTCTTTTAAACATTAAATAACAAGTGTTTCCTAATAACGTTTATCACACGCACACACACACACATGAGCCAATAAATAGGGAAAGAAAAAAAAACAAGGAAATAAAAACCAATGAATTTGTGATTAAATAAAAAATGAATGCAATGCTGTTAAGCGAGCAGTGAGAATGTATGAATATTAACAACGTTTATTCATGTCGTATACGTAACCAAAAATTTTTAAGATATAACTCAAACGTGTTGACTATCCTTATATCTCTCACTCTGACTCTCTCTCTCTCTCTCTCTCTCTCTCTCTAAAACAAGGAAATAAAAACCAATGAATTTGTAATTGAATAAAAAATGAATGCAATGCTGTTAAGCGAGCAGTGAGAATGTATGAATATTAACAACGTTTATTCATGTCGTATACGTAATCAAAAATTGTTAAGACATATCTCATATGTACTGACTATCCTTATATCTCTCACTCTCTCTCTCTCTATCAATTACTTCTTTATTGTAAATAGTTTTGAGTATTTTCTCTCATCACATAACGGCAGTTACACACATGCATACATGTATTGTGTAAACAATAGAAAGTAATGGTTTATATGATTTTGGAGGTATATGGAGTTTTTTTCTTTGAAATTAATATTACCTATTGAACAATAGCATACAGAAAAAAAGGGGCCAAACGACTTACGCGAGAATTTGATTTTATTTTCAGGTTCATCATATATATATGAACGATTATCTTTACGGGTTATGCGTATACTGAAGTAAGCCTGAAATCATTTTTATGCATAAAATAGGGCATTTTTATTAATTATGGAATTAAATAATAACGGCTCAATCTCAGCATCGACTATAAGACAAAGGCAGCAAGAACAATTACAAAAGAATCAACAAGAGCAACAACAACAACACAATGAATATCAGCAGCAATTTTGCTTGAGATGGCATAATCATCAGGTAGGTAATAGAGAATTTTTAATTAAACTGCGAAAAAACTAATAATTGATTAAAATAATGTAAATAAATATATTCATGTTAGGCGGAATATCTTGCATTTTGTTCACCTAAAATAAATAATATTATCGTAAATATAAATAATAATAAATAAATGAAAATCATTTTAGTCATTTTAGTTTATATCCTATAAAACTTAATATGCAGGGCCTATAATCTTCTTGCGCATGTATTTAATACATTCAAAGACTCAGAATTATTCTGTGCATCGATTTATGGCTAATCAAAATTTTTGAAATATTTTTTCGAAATTGCATATCCGGACGCGTTTCGATCCAAAGAAAAACTTTGCGGATCAATCATCATATGATAAAAATTTGCAATTTTGCTCAGTCATAATCACATTTAGACATATAGAATTGATGTGAACACTTTAAATCGGATGGGAAATTTCTTGAATTTCCTTATCTTCCACTCAGTTATTACGAACCAGGAGGCTTTTGCATAGGAAAATAGGATTGAATTATGAAAATTGTAATACAATGAGGTACATTGAATTAATAGATGCTTGTATATATGTTGATCAGCGATGTCTATTGCTGAACATGATAAAGTAATACAAAGTACCAATTTACATAACGGTTAAACTCTGTGATTTTGACCCTTCTCTACATATCAAATAATTGTTGTTTATTTAGCATTATTAAGTTATTCAGTGAGTATAGACGCTAATCGTGGAACGCTCAAAATTGCATTTACGACCTTCATGTCAATATTGCGATTTCATTGCTTGAGACTGATGACGAATGGTGAATTTCTAAGCCAAAATATTCATGGCGGGATCAGTACAATGTAGTGTATTACGAGCTATTAAAAACGAATGAAACTGTTGCCGACAGATGTCGGTCCGGAGTCAAATGAACACATTGAATTATGTATTGTTGCAAAAAAGACTAGCAATGGCGATAAACATCCTGCGAAGTCATCCTCTTGCAATGACAAGGCTCGGCCACGCATTGCAAGGGTTGCCAAGGTTACACTTTTGCAGCTCAAATGGGAATTTCTACTCACCAGACATAGCTCTCTTCTGATTACCACTTGTTCAGATCGATGCAGCATGACTTGGCTGGCGAGAATGTATCAATGATTGGATCGCTGCCAAACCAATAGCGTTCTTTTGAATAATGGTATTACCATGTTGCCAGAAAGATAGTAAGAATGTATAGGAAATGATGGAAAATATTTTAATTAATGTATAAAAGTGAAAATAAGATCAAAATACATGCAAGCATCTAATAAAAGCTAATTGTACCAAATGTCGGCTTGGTGGAGCTATTTTTTATATTTGAATCACATATCATGACAGGATTCTCAAGGAAAATAAGATTTTATATATGGCAACAAAAATTTCAATCTTAATACTTTCTGACAGAAATAGGTGAAGAATAACAAGATCTCTGACAAGGGAATTAAATTTTTTAAAAACTTAGTTCACATAAGTACCCCCCTTAGATGGAAACAAAGTATAGTTTTCATTCAAGCGAATAAATGACGTGAATCGTCTTAGCCGAAGCGGTGTTATAGTCCCTGCGCGATATATAATGTTTTTTTTTCTTTTCTTATATTTCTTATATTTACAATCAATTCGAATTCTGGATCGAGATCGGTGGTAAGTTTCGATTTATTGAGTACATTTTTCAAATACAAAATGTTTCGTGGCATTGCTAGTTAGTTTTCATGTGTTGTACGATCTCGGCTATTGTCAAATACCGGTCGTAGTCGAATAAATGTTGCATGACGTGAGACGTAAGCAACTGCGCAATGCTTTAAAATCGAAAGACTCTCAATTGTCTCACTGATTGATATCTAAAATGAATGGTTGTTTTCTAAACGTGTGAAGCATTTTATTTCGAAATTTGTAAACAAGTGATTAAATGAAACTTTGTACAACTGGACATCGTTGTCGTTACTTGTTACTTGTTTCATATGCAATATGTTAGTTGTCATAAAAATATCCAAAAATATATAAACAAACAAGCAGCCTATATTTAAATATATATATATATATATATATATATGACCGCCGTTCTTATAGAACTTGTTTTTTTTTGGATATTTAGGCGACGAAATATTTTTAAACCAAATCTGCAAAGCGAGCGACAAGGAGTGACGAAAGAGTGATTATTAATGCATGGATGGACGGCAGTTTGGCTATACAAAAAAAGTATAACGTTGTAAAAAGAAAAAAAAACAACAACAACAACAATCGTTAAAACATTCAAATTTTACAAATGCCAAAATCCAAAATTTATTTGTATTCGTTCCTTGCTGTCTAAGTCAAATGATATTTTTTGTAATTGTATGCATTCGTAGGCACGTACAGTGACGAACAAAACTGAATACATAATATGAAGAAGAATATATTCATACAATTCCTATTTTAATCGTAGCAAGAAAAAAAATTTTGCATAAAACACTAATCCTTACTGTCCTCTACTACTGCCGTCCATGAATAAGTAAACAAAGAGCAAGCTAATCAAATGTTTACGCAGTAAATGCATTTTTGCACGTTTTGTGTTCGCATAAAGTTTTCCAAGTCTCTTTAGTTTTGAGGCCCCTTTGGTTGGACTCTCCTTGCAAAAAACTCTATTTTGCTCATCTCACAAAAGATTAGTCAAACTTTTTAGAAAGTTTTCGAAAAATAAAATGAAAAAAATGTTTAATAAAGTCGAACTGTGTGTCCCCGAACAGCACTTTTTACTACAAAAAGGAAAAAAAAAAAGAAACACCGAAGGTTGTCTCAAAATGATGGCGATATCTGGAGCCTACGTTAAGGTCCAAACTCCGAACGTAAACAGTAATGGCATTAAATAAGAGTACCAGCAAATGAACTGCGCGTTGAGCACTACGAAAATTCGTCCTTATTCCAGCAGTTAAGCAAAAGAATCCTGGCCCATTTGAAAGGAAAACCTTAAAGCTCGTCTCGAATTCTCTAAGCAACACATAAATTGGTCAGTGTAAGATTCGAAGATTCGAGTAATATGGTCAGACGAAATCAACGTTAGGTCAAGTCAAGATTCTAGATTATATTTTGTTGTGTTAGGTGTTTGCGAGAATTTTGCTTACTTTTCCACCTGGAAAAGGCATTTATTGCAGAAAATTGGTGCAATACTTATTAATCATAATAGTTTCCGTCATTTTCTACAACGTTTTGCATTATTTTTGGCAGCATCGTGGTATCGTGTCGAAAGAATTTATATTGATTTGGCAACGGTTTATCCACCGACCCATTTTCCCACTTCTTCAACTTTGCGGAGCTGTGTGCCAGCCATACCATCCTGCATCGATCTGAATGAATGATACTCAAGAAACACCATGTCTGGTGAGTACGCTGGGCGTGGTTGAACTTCGTATTCGAACTGCAACAGTGTATCCTAGACAAGTTTTGCAATAGGTGGCCAAAGAATGACATTTTCGGTCAATTCATGTCGGCGTTGAAACCAAATCCGACAATTGGAATGTGATGGAGCAGCATCACCATAAGCCGGCAGCAGATTTTTTCAAATAAACAACAAAAGTAATGAATTTGGAAGAAGAAGAGCTTGAAGTGCTCCTTGATTAGCGTCAATAATATTAAAAAGGAATGTAGACGAGCTCTTTCCCATTTCTTTGTCATTTTTTCCTGCAAATGTCGCAGATCAAAATTTTTGCAAACACCTAATAAAATGCAAAAACTTTTCCTATCCTGTCATTTTTCTCCAGTTCCACTCTACAAATCAAACGAACGGAAATATTTTTTACAGTTAATTAGAGGACAGTAAGGATTAGTGTTTTATATGCAAATTTTTTCCTCTACTGCGATAAGGACAAGAAGAGTATGAATTTAACGCATTTTTCTTCTAATATAGTCTATCAAATTTTGCTCGCCACTGTAAGAGCGAGCCCCAGCCCATCGTTTTGAATACTTAATTGTTCATATACGAATATTATCGAATAACATTTCGGATCGATCCATTTACGTCGGCCAGCTATTCCACATATTCGTCTATTGTCATAAAGGTCATTAAGAAAGACATGGTCTTCAACTACGAGCAGGCCAAGCAATGCGAAGTTTTAATTATTTGGTAAAAATTAGGCGAATTGAGCTGAGAAATTTTGATCCATCTATGACACAGTACAAATCTCTTGACTCGTTTGTTTCGCTGCCTTATATTGGGTAAATACGAATAATAAATTCTATCTACCAGGATCGGAAATTATTTCTGACTCGACGTCAAATCCAATCCGATCCGTCACGAAGTCCCTAAATCGATCCAATCATCTCCTATAAATGAATGGGTTTTTCCAAAAAGAAAATGTATGTGGGAGGACTACCCCATATACTGGATAGCCTAATAAAGATTGTTACTTCGTAATTAAACTTTGCATACCATTCCTAAAATGTGGTGGGCACGTTGCTTCGGCTTATCATTTAGTGCGTGGTACGGCCAATATATAATATTATCGTTTAAACGCTCCTGTTCAATATTCCATATAACGCAGTAACTGTAAATTTAGAAATGAATTATAATTTTCATTATATATATATATATATATGTATATTCTTATATATGTTTTGATAGGCCAGCCTACTTAGTACACTTCCTGTTTTACTGGATCAATGCCAGCTGACCGATGTTACCATCTCAGCAGAGGGCCGCAATTTACGTGCGCACCGCGTGGTCTTAAGTGCCTGCAGTAGTTTCTTTTTGGAAATTTTTCGCACCTTAGATACTACAAATCATCCGGTTATTATTATACCTGGTGCTTCGTTTGCAGCGATTGTGGCTTTACTGAACTTTATGTATTCCGGTGAGGTGAACGTGTATGAAGAGCAAATACCTACGCTATTGAGTTTGGCCGAAACTTTGGGTATCAAGGGTTTAGCCGATGTGCATAACAATGTAATATTTTCGAAAAATCTTTGCAAATATTGAGATATTCTCTAATTAAATATTTTATACACAGTTGCAGAAATCTACAAAAGCTGCCAGTGAACTGCTAAGTAAATCAGAAAAAGAAGATTTTCAAAAATCACCATCAACACCGTCCTCTCCATCCAATTCTAATAATAATCAGTCATCGTCAGTTCCCCTTACAAACTCACTGTTAAATTCCGCGACAAATTCATCCCATTTTAATCCTCTAACGGGCACTAAATTTCCTTTACCATTGGAGAATTTTTTTTTGAAATCCTTACAATTCTATCCGAACCTTCTGCCACAGCCTTTAAATTTCTCACAGACGGCCTTAAATAAAACGACAGAGTTTTTAGCTAAATATCAGCAGCAGTGCAATCTATACCAAGGTGCCCTTGGAATGGCAAACGCAGATAATTATTCAAAGGTAATCGCAAATGAAGAAACTCCGCCGGTCAAGCGATTTTGTAGCGGCGATAAGAAATCGCAGAATGAGCAATCGACGCCACAAAAAGATATTAAACGCATTGATAAAATAGTTGAGAGCTTGCGAGGGGGCTGCGGAAAATCGAATAGTCAAGAGGGTACGCAAAATCAAGGTCATATGCCAGCACCGCTGGCACCTCTTAGCATAAAGACTGGTTTAGATAGCTATAATTCTACAACATCACCTCTAATGATTGCCAAGCAAACGCCATTATTTTCGATGGCGAATACTTCGCAATCGCCCACTAGTCCTCATGGTCATTTAAATTTGAACTTCAACATGGCGAACGAGGATGGTCTTAAATGCGATGCCGAAAAGATTAGTACACCGCCAAGTCCACACGCTACAGCACCAAACGGAAAGCCTATGGCAAACTCAAAGCTCTACGCGACTTGTTTTATTTGTCATAAACAGTTAAGCAATCAATATAATTTAAGGGTTCACTTGGAAACTCATCAGAATGTAAGGTAACGCGAGACGGAAACCAAAATGAATCCTGTTCGATTAAAGACCTTTTCTTTTATCACATTCCATTTAGATATGCTTGTAATGTCTGTTCGCACGTATCGCGAAGTAAAGATGCTTTACGTAAACATGTATCCTATCGTCATCCTGGCGCTCCATCACCATGCGAAACGGAAGCACGTCGTAAACGAGCTACCAAGCTATTGAACACCACCATAACAAGCGGCTCCGCAACAATGGGAACAAATAATTCGTCCACCGTTGAAACTAGCCCCAACTCGCCAAATATATCTCATGTGCCCGCTCATTTTCCCACTACAGCAACTGAATCTTTAAATGCCGAAGCTCAATCACAATTAAATGCTGCCGCTTATATGTTTTTACCAAATCAATTTCATTTAGCCGCGGCCGCCGCAGCGGCAGCTCATCAACACAATCAATTGTTAACCAGCAAGAATAGCAACTCAAACTTGACAATGTTAGATATGCAAAATTCTATTGGTAATAATAATAATAATAAGGCAATGGCAAATACTAATACTGCTACTACTACTACTACTACTATTACTACTACCACCACCACCACCACCACCGCGGTGCCAGTCACCGCAGTTAGTGAACTGTCTAAACCGTTAGTTAATAGTACTAATAGTAGTAGTAGTAGTGTCACTAGCTCCGCAAGCTTAGATAGTAAAGAAAATTTACATAACGCCAGCGATTCAAAAACCAGCTCAAAAGTAACGCCATGATATAGTTATATTAATGCGGTTAGAGAAAGCGATTGCAATGATAAGAAAATTAAGGTAAGCAATTCTTCAATTAAAAGAGGCAGCTTTCGCAGATAAGCCGTTTTTATATCGTTCGCTAATCATTTTTTTTAACACAAGATTCCATAATTTGGAGCATTTTTACACATTTTTACAAAGAAGAAGAAGACGTCATATTGTCAAGATATCATTTTAATACATTGATATGTTTTCATTCAAAAGGAGTCGAAGACGCCTTCAGATCAGCATATTCAGTTACGGCTGTTAGGAGTCTTCGACTACGCACCACAAGGCACGACACGCCTGTTAAGAGCTCTGTGCTTAGCTGTTAACTGAATATATGTCTCATATATGGATAAATTGTGAATCCAAGACAGGTGACAAACTTTGCAATTTAAAATCTGTTACTAGTCTAATTTCATGATTACGTTTATTTCCTGCATATTTTTGTCCTTAAAACGGTATCATTATGATTAGCGATAATCGTGTCAATCAAATTAAAAAAATTTTTGACATGTTCCTATATAGATGTGATTACCACCAATGTGGCTGACGCGAAAGTGAATTTTTTTTTTCAATCACTGATAGAAAGATATGACCGAGGAAAATGGTCCTCTTCCTCAACCTCAATTATGAATAGATTGTACATAGAGAAAACTTTAGCTCGGCAACGATTGTGGTGCAAGCGAAAAAATTATATATACTTGTAGGAGAGCTTCATAGCATATTTATATATTTGTTAAATATTATTAATTAAGTCATTTTGGTAGGGTCTCTGAGCTATATTTCGATAACGGTATATATATGCGGTCTTATATACCATATATGTAATTAAAAGAAATCATAAGCTCTGAGAGTAGAGCTTATACATATAGTTTAAGAGAGAATTGCCGATGTATTTATATTAAATAGTTATTGATCCCATTCTTAGTCCCTGACTGTGATATATATAGTGAAACATTTTCCTATACCTGTTAAATTTTTTTTTTTTTCTTTCCTATGACTTATTAAACAAGCCTTTACCTATAAAACGCCTAATTGTTACAAAGGCTTTACGTCCAAATGTACTTGAAAGTAATTAGTATTTAGTTATAATTTAAACCACAAGAGAAAAAAATACCTTACACATAAACACTTTTACACTTTATATACAAACATACTTAGATTTAAAAAAAAAAAAGAAGTTTTTTATACACAGATTTCTACACAATGCACAATCAAAAAAAGACAGAATTTATACTTTTGAACATATGAATAAAAATTATTAATAAAGTGAAAAATCAAATAGAAAATCAGGTAAATAATAATTAAATTAACACATTTATCAAATATCATCCATTACAAGTTCGAGCAGAAATTTCAAACATAACATGCATTAGCAATTTTCATTAGTAAATTTTTTTCATCATCGCAACTTTTTGAGGTAAGGCCGGTCACCTTTCATCCTACTTTCCTTTCGGCATGAGAAAACATTCGAAAAAATTCATATTTAGCAAGGAATGTAACGAAAAATAGAATGAGTAATGGAAAATTTCCCTGATAAAATCGACAGCTGAGCGTGGAACGAGCAACATTATTATTATCATTAAAGACAAGCTGTATATACTTTAAAAGGAAGTATTGAATAAGTTGTAGACAGAATCTGAAACGTATTGAATCCAAAATTTATGGGAATAAAAAGAATCAATAACTTAGGGCAAAAACGAATATTGTCGCTTAGATGATGATGCAGTCCATCGTACCAAGACACAGGGCATTAGGTGTTCAGGAATCGTCCTAGAAAAAGGAGAATTTTATTTATACTTTCGCTGCATAATCAACTCGTAAGAAGAAAGTTACTGCCCTTCAGACTAAATACGTATTCATAAGTGTCAATAGGAAAATGCTCCCGATTAACCAATGAATCCGTATAAAAATCACTTGTAATTTAATTTAAAGTTTTTATATATTATTTTAAAGTGGGATAGATATATGTATATAAAGTGATATAATGATATTCTTTCTTTTCGATCTAAAGAAGATTCGTTTATCATCCGACGCACGTTTAAGATGTTTTGAATTGACGTTGAACTGGGAAACGGTACACAGTTTCTAAAGAGAAAACTTTGTTTTGCAGATCCTAAAAATAAAAAAAAAAAAAAAAAAAAACCGGCTCCAGCACTAATTCTTGTTGTACATAACCTTATTATTGCTGACATTGCGAATTTTCTTCTTCTTAATGTATTCATTAAGGCGCTTCCTTGTTATTTTATCATAATAAGTGACCATGTGACCGATGATATGTTAAGTTTCATATATACCTATGGGGTATGGGACCATTGTCATTATATAACAATAAAAAAAAAGAAAACACTGATGAAAATTACATTCGGCGGGAGACGAATCTCGCTTACCCATCACTATGATTTTAGCATTCTACTTGCCAAGGCTGGTATGATTAAAAAAAATTAATCGCAGTGTCTACCATAAGTCCAAATAATAAATCTTCATTTGAAGAATGTACAAAACACTCAAAAAAAGTGACAAAAATTATACTTAATCACTTGTAAATTTGTGTGGTAAAAAGAAAGGACGATTTCGTAAAGTATATGTGAAAAATTTCTACCTTCTAACTCTAATAATTTCTTAAGTTATTTATATTAATTTAGATATAGAATAAATTCCAAGACTAAAGTCTTGAAGCGCCCGCTACCATCTAAAGCACTATCAACGGCTCTATTGAAAACTCTAACATACTTGGAGATACCTTGCTTCCTCGGCCACTTGAGGATCCCATCAGAAAATTTGATATATGACGTGGTTTCAAACTTTGATATTCATAGGAAATTAGGTACTAAAATGGAATGCTATCGTCTATTTATACCATGGTCTCACGATAACTACAGCAATATAAATCGTCTACATAAATCTTGTGTTGATTTGTGTCTCTTCTGCTCAACGCTGATATATATTAGATGTTTGAAAGAATTTTGATCACTTTTTCACTTGGAAAAGGCATTTATTGTGGAAAATTGGCTCAATGTACTATAAACAAAATATTTTCCATTGTTTTCTACAAATTTTTCCCATCTTGCCGGCACCCAATGCGAGATACCATGCCGAAAGAACGATATTGGTTTAGTAGCGATTCACGCGCCGATCCACTTTCGCACTTCTTTAATTTTGCGGACACGCGTGCCAGCCAAGCCATGCTGCATCAATCTGAACAAGCGGTAATTAGGAGGCGTAAATGTCTGGTGAGTATGCTGGTTGTGGCAGAACTTCGCTTTCGAACTACGACAGTGTATCCTGGATAACTCTTCCAACTTGCGAGTGACCAAAAAAATTGCAGTTTTAGTCATTTCGTCTCGCCATTTATGAACCGTTAAACCGAAAACCGACAATTGGGGTACGATGGAGCATCTAAACGTGCTTGGTTTGGGATTCGGCAGCATATTTCTTCGAATAAGTAACAAAAGTAATGAATTTGAAAGAAGAAGGATTTTGATTGCTCCACAATTGGGCGTCGGCGCACCACGAATAAATCGATCATATTCAATGGAAAACGGTTATTTTATGTAGCAAAAGGTCAAAACCATCGAATTTCCCATTTCTTCATCATTTTTATCTGCAAAAGTCGCCGATCAAAATTTTTGCAAACACCTAATATACGGCAGATATCTTTTCTATCGTGTCATTTTTTTTCCATTTCGAGTTACAAATCAAACGAACGGAAATTCTTTTATATATGTTTAATTGTCGGCATTACTGTTAAAACGATAAACAACTTCTTTTCATAATTCTAACATACCTGTAAAAGATTTAATGTTCTTCGGCCATGCGATCGTTAAGGTTTGCTTCTTCTTTTTTTTTTTTTCTGGCAAAATAGATTTTTATTTTCTTGATGTACAAAATTATGCTTTGTGCAATCGTGCATACAAAGTTTATATAGGTATAGGCAGATAAAACTTTTTTTGTATATAAAAAACAAAAAAAACAAAAAAAAAACAAAAAAAAGTTCACTTTATAATGAATGAAAACCTAACTAAACGATAAATAAATAAATTTATAATGCAAACAAAATACTTTTAAACTTAAAGAAATGCAAATTTGGGGCAAAAGGATATACAAACTAAAATGCATTATGGTTTATGAAAAACTGTTATCATATATGAAGAAACTCTGCGGATTGTATAAGATGAGAGTTCGCTAAGCATTTCTTGTTAAAACAATAATTGCATCCAAAGACAATTCAGATTGTCTCCACATGCCAGATTTTTGTATTACAATCTTGACCAGTAGATATTACAGTATTATTGTCCAACCATACGAGACGTGTAATCTGAGATTGAGGATGAGCATCTGAAACAGAGAGAATGAAAAACACATAATAATATGACATTAAGAAGAAGACTAGAAACAAATTATATTTCATCTGGATTGAAGAAAAGCTTTTGATAAGCTCCATTCGTTTTTTCTGATTTTCCACTGGACGGACTAGGTTATGTCGATTACCGTAATCCACATTTGTTGATATTACAAATGGGAAAATTTGGTAATACCCCTTCCCCCAGATTAGTCCATGATCTATACAAATGAGAATGATTTTCAGAATTTTAGATTTTGTTTATTTCATAAATGTTTGTAAACGGAATCAGGTCGATTATGGTGAAACGTCTTTTGCGGAAATAAAATCCCTGTTGTACCGCTTGCCTTTTAGCTTTTGCATTGCTTTAAATTTTTCACACTACATAGGTTATTAAATCGTTGCAAACTAACCAATAAAATGTATTATCTACTTTAGGCATTTCTTCATCTTTTTCTTATTTTAAAGCATTTCTTTTGTTCAAAACGTTTAAGGAACTTAATTATTCTCCGGAGATGAATACAAATATGAGTAAAGTAAGATAATAGCAGTAAAAGAAAAATCTATTCTTGAAGACTTACTTTTGATAATGGTGTGCTTTGAGGGATTGTTAACCGACCATATAATAATGTTAGTGTCCAATGAACCGCTGGCAACTAATAAAGAATTGGGTGACCAGGCCACTGTATTAACACGAGCATTATGGAAGCCCCATTCTTTGTTGTGAGCCATCTAAAAATAAAAGTTTTTGTAATAATTTCTATAATAAAGAAATCTATGGTGACTTGTAGTTTACGTACCTTATATTCTTCCACATTATATAATACTACTTTACGGTGAGCGTCACAAGCCACCAAATACTTATTATCAGGCGAATACGAGCAATCGGTTACGGCGCCCAAGTGCTCGAGTTCGATTTTTGGTTCTAAGATGGAGTTTTTCAAGCTGTATATATGTAACTTTTGATCATCACCACCAACGGCTATATCTAATGTCTCTGCATTAGCCGAGATCGAAGTGGCCTCGTATTTTATAGGCAGTGAGAAGATTTTTTTCTGATCCTGTACCAAAGTGAGCTCCTTGACACAAGCCAAAGCAATTATATCTTCATTGCGGAAAATGGATAAACCGCGTGGCTGACAATTTAATTTGACCACATAGTCGGTGTAAGCATTCGATTCGACACTGAATTGACGTAAACTATCATCAATGCCACACGTGTAGACAAAATCGCCCCATGCTGCAATACCGTTCATCTAGAATAGATTGCTCATTGTTGTCTCGATAACGTATTATGATGATTTAGGATATTTACCTGATTACCGTGCCCAATACCTGAGACTCGGTCATTAACTCCACTACCCGAATTCCAACTGATCACGATACCGTCATGACTACCAGTGTAAATAGTACTGCGATCATCGCTAAGACCCAACACGGTTATAGGTTTATTATGACCTTTAATAACACGTGATGGTTTTGAAGCATCGTTAATGTTTAGATACGTCATATGACCCGATAAAGATACTGTAAGTAAATGTTCGCCTTGCCATAAACACGAAACTTGTTGATCATCTACATTAGAACCCATGACAAATTCTGTTAATAGCTCTCGAGTTTCCACATCCCATAAACGACAAGTTTTATCACCCGAACAGGTAAGTAATTGAGTACCATCAGATTTCCAGGCGACTGCATATACTCCGCCCTTATGAGCCGGATTACCGAATTCGCCGACTAAATCCGATGTAGTACCGTCATAGAGGAAGACTTTGCCATCGAATCCAGCCGAGGCGAAATATTTACCATCGGGTGAATAGCGTACAGCCTGAACAAAACGTGAATGATCCTGTTTGGTCATTTTGAACTTGAAAGGTGGTCCCTCAAACACTCCTATAGTGTTGTCTTCGCTGCCTAAAAGGAAATTTTTTTGATTTAAAAATAATTACCTTTGAAATTAATTTTTTTTTTAAATATATTATTTATACCCGTTACTATGCGAAACGGTCGAGCAGGACGAAAATCACAAGAATTTATAGATTTAGATTGGCCACTGATTTCACCTACCGAAGTACCAGTTTCCGCCATAAATACATGTCCAAATCTCTCGCGACCCTCACCCGCTACTACTATACGTTGACTATCCTGAGACCAAGATATGTCCTTAATCGGACCAGCAATTGGTTGAAATTCATTTTTCAATAGATGCTCTTTATTAACTGTGTCCCAAATACGTATTTTACCCGATTGATCTTAAAAAAACAAGAATAAGAAGAGGAAAAAAGTGTAAGTGCGTTTATTTTCTTCACACTTCGTTAAGTTCAGCCAAAGCTATGTAGTATATGATATTATGATGTATGTATATATAAATAAGTAATAGCTATGGTTATGGTAAATGTGAAAATCATTTTTTGACTTTTCCTTCAACGTAAGAAGTTTAATTGACTTTCATAAAAAATAAGGCCAAATTTGCCATTTTTTCTACATTTTATTAGCAAAAATGTTTTATAATAATATCTTCAAATTTTACAAAACGTAATGAGCTACTAATTTTCAAAAATAAATTCATACTTGCATGATTTTCCATTTCAATTATCACAAAATTTGATTTAACCACTCACATCTTCTGCAATGAGTTTCACTCAACGAGACTCATTCAATAATAGGATGAGTAAAAAGTTTGTGGCGCTCCTTTTAATAGATAGCCTTGAAGTCATTTAACTTTAGCAATACCAAGTCTATCAAGCTTTGCGATACTGCGTGCGACAGGCGACGATCAGACAGACAATGAGGCATTTCTGAATTCATTTGGAAGCAGTAACTGAACCAAAATTCTGGAAAAACTTGTTATATTTGGTATATTTGTTTATTAGTTTGATGAAAACGATAAAGCTTCGCAGACTTGACACGTTGTGCTTGTGGTGAAGCTTAATCAAAGCCAGCAACACGCAAATAATTTTTTCATTTCTGTTCTGCAAATTTCGATGTTTGAGAAACATGGCGCTCTGGTATACAAATTGTTGATAAGATGATCGGGGCGGATCATCTTATGACAGAAAACAAGTTTCGAACGATTTGCTCGGTATTCAGTAATTGATGCCACATAAGGTAATGTTTCGTATTTATCCGTATTGAAAAGGCCCTGTGCAACATGAACTGCTCTGAATAACTAACGCAATTAAAGTGCGAAAACGAGGTAAAGCATCCAGGATTAACCAATACGAAAAGCATTGTGCACCTTTTGATCATCATTTGTTTTGACCTCCGCGAGTCTCTCTTTTAATAGTGTAATGTTGACTCTAACTCTAAGTCTTGTCAAAATTATTTGGCTCAAGAAACAACTCAAAAACCAGAGGTTATTGATTAAGACTACGCGTTTTCGATTTAATAAACCTCACTTTAAATATAACAGAAATGTTGGGAACGCCACGAACATTTTTCTGCACGCAATACTACACAGATTATTACTTACTGCATGACTGGCCATAAAGAGCGTACGTGCAGAGTTCTCGTATTCCGCAGCGAAAATACAAAAATTTCTACCGCTATTTAGATTAGTTGAGAACGAAATTTTGAAATTTTCCCTCACGCGTTCTACTTCATGCACGCATTGTGATGCGTTTTTGGATTTTCGAAAATATAAAAATCCGAATGATATTGAAAATGTTGGAAGTCACGTGTAGATGATGGGTTTTAGGTGAATACCTCCTCAAAACGTGATAATAAAACATACGCTAAAGTTAGTGCATGAAGGAAATCACGCATAGATTCGATTGATTCCGCTCTTATCCTTCTAGCATTGACTCATCTGCGTTATTTACTATTTATTTATTCATTATCATCACATTTTTTTTAAGATATGGAACCAGTGAAGCATTGACCGAATTAAAACTTTCTTATTAATATATATACAACCATTATATAAACACTAGATCTTGCCGTCAGAGATAATAAAAATTTCTTAGTAATTACAGCAAAACATATCCGTTATTTTTTATGTGTGTATGTATGTACGCATTATGTGTTCTTTGAAAATATAATATTAAATTTTTAAGTATATAAAAATGAAATGCTTTTCTTCGTATTTAATAAGCACTTACTTACCTCCAGATGCAATATAGAAACCACTTGGCGAATATTTGGCTACATTGACGGCACATGAATGTTCTGTATAAACATCAGCGATAGCAGGATTCTAAAGATGACCAAGTCATACAAGAAAACACATAACACAATGGATGGAAGAGAATGTAGGAAACAAAAAGCAAAAAGGGAAAATTTCTTATTTTTTTTTTTTTCACTCAGTCTGTTTCATGTAAAAATTAACTCAAAAGACTTGCCCTGAGTTTCATCACAAAGTCTTAAAAATTTGATTACAAGGAATGCGCTTATGACCATGGTCTTTATTACTTCAGAGTCAAAGTGTAACTTCCTTCAAACGGCAGCCTCAAAAATCTATGGATTTAAAACGAATCCTATTAAACTATAGTTTGGGTAAAAGATGGAACATAATTGAGTTGTACGCGGTAGAAGAAGAGTCTATGATTCATGTTTAATGTATATTGACGATATGAAAAATTAGAAACGTGGGCGCAACATCATGGCCATGACTAAACACAAAATTTGTATAGAAAAGTCTTTCTTTTTAGAAAACGTAACGCAAATGTTGGACAATATTTTATGATGTAGTTAAAAATAAAACTTATGAACTCAAATAATTGTGAAATATATCAAATGACGCTGACGTCCGTGGCTGTTTCTTTTAATGAGAATCAAAATCTAATTGGGTCTCTGATCTGATTGATCAATGGATTTTACATAAGTTAATGTAAACACACCTCGATATTTCTAATGATTACTGAATTGCCGTTAGTATAGAGGAAGTTTTTGCCCTTAGGATCCGATCCCAAAACGATGGGTTGGCCACGCTGAGTACGAGGTAAAGTTGCATATGTGAATTCTGTAAAAGAAAAGATAAAAATTGACAGAACTTCATTAATAAGAATCAAAAATAAATAAAAACACCAACAATGTACATGAAAACAAAAATAATTATTGCTCCCGTGATTATTAGAATATAATTTCAATGTAAAACACATTTAGGGTGCGGTTAGTTAAATGAAAGAAAGGGGAGGGTATTTCGAGACTAGAACGATACACTTAAAAACTTCAATGAAAGCAAGAATGAAGAAGACTAATGCCGGTTTTTTTTTTTTTCTTTTTTGATAATGTATGAATAGTAAATACTGAGAATGACCATATATGGTAATTGTTGCAGACAATTTTTTTTTTTTTTTTTCGTTGTGTCCAAAGAAAAATTGCTTTCATATTATGACTAATATTATAGATAATTTTAAACACACATAGCACTGTCTCTAATCGAATTAGTGCATAAAAATAACTTTTTCGCAGGCATAGAAAAAAATGGCAACTAGTATCGCACTTACTATGCTCATAGAGTGGCGGCTGTTGTTGTTGGGCCATGCTTTTTTCTGTTTAATTTGTTTTTTTTTTCTCGTTATTTAATAAAGTAAAGAAAGTATTTTAGAAAACACTTAAAAATTATGTAAAAATATATGTATATATATAAATATATATATATAAATATATATAAGTATATATATGTGCTCTTTCAAATTATACTTTCTATAAAATAAAAAAAACTATATATTCACTTTAACGTCTAGCCACAAACTGCGTGTACAAAGTTATCATTTAATTTTTCTGCTTAAAAATGAGAATTCGGTGAATAAACTGAGCTGCCAAAGTAAGTGTAATATTTTATTTATAGGGAAAACGTTTGGCAAAATTATTTCTCATAACATTTACTTTGGCATTAAATATAAAAGATTTTATATACAATTTCGAAAAAACTAAACAATCATTTTTTTGTTACAAGAACAACTATTTATAAGAACATTTTTTTATTTTAGACCGTTATGTAAATTATCAGTATCCAATACCTAAAAAGTAAAATGTTTTGTTAGATCTGTTTATTGAAAAACGAAAAATTTCGTTAACACAATTCATTACATGTTAAGAATTGTAGGAAAGCCCTGCGAATGTGATTTCAATAATGAGCGAAATTTTAAATTGACAGTATTTAATTGATCATGAAAATATTATGTCGGGACAACTTCTTTTTGGTAGAATCATTTACTAAAGGTGAACTCACATAGAAAAAAAAGAAATGAATGAATTAACCTGACAAAGAAGAGTTACTTTAAACTGGGTGAATTATGAATATATAATTGTTTTAAAGACCTTGTAAACGCCGATCTTCATTATTCTAAGAATATTTGTATTTGCTATCTATATCACTGACACCACGAAGTAAGTTCTATTAAAATTCTAAACAATTCCATTAATTATAAATATGTATGCCGCTGCTAAAATTTTCCATATAATTCCCTAGATTTATTGAGAGGTCTATATTGAACGAAACGGATAGGTAGTGTGTATAACGATTGTGAGTTGAATATGTAAAGAATCACAGTCCATTTGCGAGCATTTAAATGCTTTCATTATAAAAAAATACTTACACAAGTGCGTGAGAAAACTCTATATTTGCTTGAATTAGGCGGCCGGTTTGAATGTTATATAATAAGTCTGTATGACGAATCAACAATTTATACGGTTAAGCGCAAACACAGTCGTACACAGCTTGAATGAGCCGCTGAAGCAAAATCATATGGCTATTGGTTGTTTAGTATAATTTTTACTATTATTTCGCTCAACTTTTAATTTTTTTTAGCTTTTAATTTAATTTTTTCTTCTTTAAAGTTATTTTTTATAGCATATAAAACTATATGATTTTTTTTACTCTTTATAAACACATCAGTGTGTGTGTTGTGTTTTGATTTGAAAAAACCTCGCAGGCACATATTATAAGTTTGTCAAAAAATTGCGTTCACGCACTACGTACTACAAATACAATTTTACCTTGACAGTTCGTGAGGCGCGCATAACGCAAGCATTGTGGGTGCGCCTTATTCCTACGGTACTTTGGAATTTTGCATTGTGGTACAGACATATTTGTTTAAAAATGTTCCCGAAACTCTGGTGTGTCTGAAAAAGAGATATTAAGCGCTAAACCTAAATTCCATTTGCATCGTACATTGCTGCAATGATGCATTGCACTAGAATGTTTTTGTTTCTAAAATGTACAAATATATAGAGACAAAATTTAATTTTTTCTTTTATCAACTATTTGTATGATGCACGATGCAGAGGCAATGAGCAGATCGTTATTCAATAGCTTCTGCTTTTATTTTTACGATTCGCCACCGTTCTACTTCTTGTAAATTCACTTTTTTTATTCTTCATTTCAATAAACAAAATGCTTATTTATTTTTACATTAATTTTTTTAGTCTTACCCAACATATATCGGTTGTCTCCGTTTAACTATATTGGCTTATTCTTACCTCTCAACACGTATTTGCTTTGTTCACACTTACGTTAATCTCCTTATTCTTACATCTTAACCGATAGATGAATGGGGCTTTTTTGTGTGTGCTGCCTGAAAAGTTTGACACGTATGTAAAGTTTTGGTATGGGGAGAACTAAATATTTGTCTTGCCTTCTCTTCTTGCTGATTGGTTACTTCGAATTATAGTATCGTGATAAACTAAAGGATATCTGAAATTATCTGTAGTAAGTTAAAATTATGTTATTCAACTAATGCAACTTTTTGATTACCATTATGATGCACATACTCTATGTTTATGTTGCTCTCTTTAAAGTCTTCCTCTTTTTCATTGATGTTATTAATAAAACAGCTGTTTGTTTTGCTTGCATTGTGAAGTACTTATTTTATTCAACTGCTTAATATAAAATATTACAGAATTTGAAGAAAATGCTAGAACCTGCTCATATTAAATATGCTAATCCTCTCTATGGTCAATTAATAGTTGGACCACCTGGTAGCGGGAAAACTACATATTGCCATCATGCATTCAAATTTTACAAGGAATTGGGACGCCGAATAGGCATTGTTAATCTTGATCCTGCTAACGAAAATATGGAATATAAAGCAGAGATTGACATAATGGAGCTTATTACCGTACAGGACGTAATGGATAGTATGCATTTGGGACCAAATGGCGCTTTAATGTATTGTGCAGAATTTCTAGAAGAACATACAGAAGATTGGTTATTGCCTTTATTGAATAAAGCTAAATGCAATTATTTTTTATTCGATTGCCCCGGACAAATAGAATTATATACTCATCATGCCTCCATGTCTCATATATTTGAACGTTTACAAAGAGATGGTTATCATTTGGTAACGGTTAATCTAATTGATTCCCATTATTGTTCAGAGCCATCGAAGTTTGTCTCTACACTTTTAATGGCTTTAAATATGATGTTACGCATGGGTTTACCGCATGTTAATGTCTTGTCAAAAGCCGATTTGCTTAAGCGGCATGAGCATAAATTAAAATTTAGTTTAGATTTCTACACTGACGTTTTGGATTTAAACTATCTTTTAGAAGCTTTGGATGATTCACCTTCGCTAAGAAAGTATAAAAAACTGAACGCAGCTATTTGCTCTATGGTTGAAGATTATTCATTGGTATCGTTTCAACTTTTGAATGTTCGGAGCACTGAAAGCTTGTTACGTCTACGCAATCACATAGATAAAGCTAATGGTTACATTTATAAAGCCGGCGAAGAGCAATCAGTGAATACATTATTGGCTTGTGCAGTGAACGCAGAAACCGAAGTAACAAGGCAAAATAAAGACATTGAACCTTATATGTAAGAAATAAAATGAAAAACGCACCTAAAAATGCTTTTGAATGAAGAAATCAATTGCAGAAGGGGAAATTGTATTTCGTTATCGCTCAACTGTTTACCATTTACCATCATTTTTATTCAATCAACATGTATCTATTAGGAAAAGGAAATTTAGATGGATGCAAGGATGTGCACAGGGTAATAGGTATTTGAACGTCAAGAATTCCTACTTGAGTTTCCATTTTCGTTGTTTGAATTTACTTTAACGATAATGAAAAGAACACATTTTTGTCAATATAAATCCGCTTAGCATGTGTACTCGACTCTATACGAACTCTCACTTAAATGCATTTGGTGGATACATGCAACAATAAAACCTATACTATTATTGAATAACAAAAGAAAGAAGAGTTGAGTGCAGCCTTCTGTACCATCTATTACAACATGATACATTATATGTTAAGGATTTGCATATGAGGATAAGATTATTATAACTTGTTTACTTAGAAAAACGGATGGAAGATTTAATAGATCGTTCCGTCTTAATCGGTCGACTGAATGCGCATGATAAACATCAACCACTACTATTTGGATTTTTTAATTGAGTCTGCAACAATTCCGTAAAAAAATAAATCGAGTTTGATAGAAATAGATGCATACATAGCATCGGTAGATAGAAAACTAGAGAATAGAAAAACTTTGAATGTAGAGAGTTAAAGATCTTTTCGTTTAAATAAAAATGTCGAAAAATTTTCTAGAATATTTTACATTTATTGGGTTGAAATGAATCTAAACTGACTTGCCCGGTAGTCTAGTCTGTCGAATGCAGCGCGAATGATCGTTTGTTGGCACGTTCTTCAATGTAATTATCCGTTAAGGATTCGTTATTTGCTAAATTATACGGGTAAAGTTATTGACAGTGGCGGAAATAAATACGTGTCATAATATCAAAGTCGACTAAGCCGCTCTTAATTGCGGTGAGAGCAGAAGAGATATTTCTGATTGTTGTCGCTGTTTTATAAACTAATTTAAAGCAACTATTTTAAAGCCACAGATTAAACCACACAAGAAATGTTAGCCATTTAAATCAATAAGATGAAAAATATACATCCAATGAAAATCCATCTAATCGCTTCATTTATTTCATTTATACCTTTACAGCGTGGCATTTCGTTAATGTTAAACCAATCGTTGTAAGGGGGTGTTGAGGAATGTCGAGCAAAAAAAAAATTGTACTTATATGATAAAATTGAAACTTTTTTTTTTTTGCTATTATTCTTAAGAAAAAAAAAAAAAAAAAAATATTTAATAAAATTAAAAATAACATTAAAAGTGTTCAAGTCTTCGATGATTAAGAATTTAGTTCAAGCTCAATGTGTATGTATTTTTTGATAAAATAATTACTGAACTTAGCCTTTGATACATTAAAGTAAAGCCATACTTGTGGAAATCTTAGTTATTGCGCAAAAATTCCCAACGATAGCTTCATTCATATCTTAAAACAATTTCCTTAGGCGTAGAAAAAAAAAAAAACAATTTTCTAATCTTTTGAAATGTTTTTATATAATTAATACCAAATCCAAATTCAAACGGACTTGGGTAGTATGCAAATCTTGCCATTTGATTTGTAACATTTAGAAACGGTATATTAGAAGTTCCCTAATAAAGTTTCAACAAATCTTGACTAGGATGAAGTTTCATTTCAAGATGATTTATAATTATTAATAGATTGAATGAATGATATATTCAAAGGGAAATTTCAGTTGCTCTCCAACTATATGAAGTGCGAAAATACTTGCGTGTGCGTGTGTGTGTGTGTGTGTGTGTGTGCGTGCGTAACATTGCAGTTTGGCCAATAGAAAAAGGAAAAAAATTTCGATACTTGCATCTTCAAGGTAGCTTTTGCTCTGCCCACTCAAACTGAATGCGAATAATCGTACTTGTTAATAATATGTTCACTTTCAAGATCGCCTTTAACATCTCGGAAAAAGTGCATCACACGTTTTAATACAATACTTTCAACACCTTATATATCGAATTACAACTTGGTCCGAAGCGCTTTAAAAGGTCGACTACATTTTCTTAATGATGAAAGGTATCCAAATAACTTTTTGCCGTACTCACGCTATAAAAGCAAAAGTACTTCTTCCAATTAAATATAGTTGTGTATTTCAAATCCTTCAGTGTTGATTGGTGTTTCAATAGAATCAAAATTATAAATTTATAAAATAAGTTGTAACGTGGACGGACATCTTTGCATTTTATACGATTTACTACCGGTACTCTCTGACAATATGAACTTCTTTTTAAAAGATTTGTTGAAAAAAAAGTTTCAAGTAAACTGTTGCACAAACTTAAACGAAAAATTTTTGTATTTTTAAGGAATTATTACCAAAAATATATATATTATGTGTAAGCTGCTGTTATTAGCAGTTATTACTGCTCTTGTTGCTGCAGCAAAACCTGAAATCAATGATTTATTTATATCCGAGGAAATAAAGTGAGTTTTCAAAAAAAATCTCTTTAGAAAATTTTTTATGTAAAAAAAAGTTGAAAAATAATAAGGGGAAAAAAAATTTTAAAAATCTACTTAAAAATGATAAGTAAAATAAAGATTAAATATCACGCATGTTTAATGCAATTATTCTTAAGTGATCTTAAATTAAAATTCATTCATAATATTGATGTAAGACGATTTTATACTAATATAATAAATTAATGAATAGATAAAACGGATGTTTTTATTCTCTGAAACCAAAAAAAAAAAAAAAAAAAAAAAAAAAAATGTAAATTTCTTAAAAAATAAATATTATATACTAAAAATCGTAGCTTCCTATTCGACGTCACGATGGCCTTGATATTTGCCGTATTGACTTGAACTCATTATCTGCTAAGGTTACAAGCTTTCAAGGCCAATGTTTTGATATTTTTTACTTCTATAGTTTTTTACTTGCACGTGCTTGGGGATCAGGTCCAAAAATACTCCAATTGTCAGCTGTTTTTAAGCAGATCGTTCGCCTAAGTCGCCGGACAAGTATATTTTTGGTTATTACTTGCTAAAATTTTTAAGCGTTCATCTTAAGATGAACGATTAGTTAACTAATTTTGCAAGATGTTTGCAAACTTTTTTTTTATTTAACATTTTTTACTCGGAGGTTGCGTGTATAATCAATATTGCTTGGAGTATAATAAATATTTCTCAGATCATCGTAGATCTTAATGTTTTCTAATATCTAGGAATTTTTCCGGGCTTTTCAAGGTTTTTCCTCGTCATTTCGGACATTACTAGTATGGTATCGGGCTTTTTGTTATATATATCAGACATAATCTATCAATCCACTTTCTTCATTCAAATTTGTATGAACTCGAAAATCCCAATCGCGCTGATAAATGAAAAGAGAATCTACAATTTTGTTATTTTTACTCGAATTTTAAAAATTAATTGCAAAAATTATCGACCAGAATTGTCCAAAGGACATCTTTGTATCTACACATTTTGTTTGTTAGTGAATTTTGCACGTATTCGTCACACTCTTGCGCCTTATATCTACCGAAGGCAAGTCATCAAAAATATTCGCGAACTACGTTCATTGATAAGACGCATCACGTACGGGAGTATGAGAAGAAAATTGCGTAGGAACTCCGATATGCTTTTCTGGGTACCGCAAAGAGAACGACACTATAGTATTATAATGAAATATACGTGTTCTGGTGTCTTCGATCCGTACATTTGAATAATATGAAGAAAATTATGAAGTGAATTTTCACAAAAATGATCGCATGAAAAATTATTGCGCAGTTAACTGAAATTTTGGGGGACTTCATTCTATTCTTAATCCAATTTGGAATTATCGACGGAACATTAAGATTAAATATACACTTTGCGAACACCCAACGGGCTTTCAATCTTCGGCGTCTTGTCTTCAGAGTATCTATACCCTATGGATATTAGTATCAATACAATATTTGACTTCATTAAGGCGACTAGTCTAACTATTTAGTTTACCTTTAAAAAAAACAGTAAGTAGTAAGAAAATTAAATTCGGTTGAGACCGAAGCTTTTATACACATCGCCGTTATCCTAAAACAAACAAAAACAGGAAAAGAACTAAATTTTCATGGTTTATAATATGGAGTGAGCGCAATTGATTTCTTCTGATTTCAAAATAAAAATGTTTTTGTTGTAGAGTCACGTGGGCGTTGTTATGCAGGCGTGTCCTTTGAAAAATTTTGGTCAATTGCAAATTCTTTTGCAAATTTGTAGGCGAAATCTTCATTTTTACCAGCGGGAGAAAGTTACGCAAACAGACAGATGGACAGACTAACAGGCGGACACATTTAGGTGCATTCAAGATTTGAAATTTTCCAAAATTTTGGATACTTTGCTATTGATAAATTAATTAAATTTTGAAAATAACCACAATGTTGGGTAGGCGTGGTCAATGTTACAGCATCGCTCTATTCCCTTCAAAAAAACCGGGGTGTGTTGGGCGTGGTTTTCAACCTATTTGGCCCATTTTAAATGCCAGCTTGTGTGCAAGAACTTCCACTGTTTCTGCCAAATTTGAAATCGTCATTTTTGCGATCAGGAGGATGTTTACAACAGACGGACAGATGAATATGCTTAACTCGATTTAGAATTTGATGCTGATTATGTGGGGTTTTTCATGCTTCGTTCTGGGCGTTGCAAACGTTTTGGCAAAATGAATATACCCCTCATCCTTCGATGATGGGTGGTATAAAAGAAAAAAAAGAAGCCTTGCTTAATAGTGCTCTTCCTACTTTTTAGAATATTTCCTACTTTTTTTCGAATTTTACGTTTCGTGGAGTTTTGACTTTTAAAACCGCCCTGCATGCCTGCATGTAGCAAAATTCTTGCTATTAAAGTTCATTTATTCCAAAGGAATAAGTTCTTCAACTATGTGACTAAATATGTATTCAGCCGCAGATGTTAATGCTGATTAATGGCAAAATTAAAAGATTTATTTGGACATTTTTCTACAATTATAGACTTGTAGAGGATCTTATTCTGCGAACAATTTTTGGGATTAATTGTAATGAATATGTTTGATCGAGAGAGTTTAGGAGAACGTCTCTGAAGTCACAAAGTATGTGTTTTATTCTAAAGATTTTTCCCATAAGTTTATATAGTTCGTGTAGCTCTCTACAGGTTTTTTTTTGCCAAAAAATTAGTGCAGTACCGTATTACCTGCAATGAAAAAATTATATTTCTTAGAAGGAAGCATCAGAGACCCCATAAATTATGCATATTCTTGATCAGCATCAAATTCTTAATCAAATTAAACACCGTTCGTCTGTCCGCGGATATAATGTCTGTTGTAAACATTCTCCTGGCCGCAAAATGAAGCCATCAAATCTTTCCCATCCTTCTGGCAGCATGTCGATATCGTTTTGAAAAAATTTATATTGGTTCGGTATTGATTCATTTTCTTGCTTCTTCAGCGTTTCAAAATCGCGCAAGTCAGCCAAGCCATGCCACATTGACCTGAACAAGTGGTAATCAAAAGACACTACGCGTGGTGAGTACGTTGGGTATGGCAGATCTTCCCATTGCAGCTGCAATCCTGTGGCCTTGACAATTCTTCCAACAAGTGGCCAAAATGGCTTTTTCAGTCAATGCGTAGCGCAGCCATTTTGGTTATCCTTTTGGTTCTTTTCCATTACAGTGATTCATGAAAGTGTTTTGAGAAAGTTAAAAATCATCGCATTTAACCATTGTATACTTGGCATTACCTTATCACTTTCATCAAGAGATAGCGCTGATCAAAATTCATGCAAGCACCTATTATATTAAACATGGCTTATAATAAGAAAATTTTGATTTAAATTTTATTCTGTTCTAAATTCTCGATTTCCTTTTCATATTAGCCCAATAAAAGATGCCAACGAAAATGATGAATATAAACGCGAAGAACGTGGTTCTTTTGGTGGTTATTTCGGGCAGTCGCAACCAACTGCTTCAAAAGTCTCAACTAACGCTAGGTAATGTTATATATATATATATATATATATATGTATATATAATAAATAAGCATTTTTTTAATTTTTTACTTTATTTACTTAGGTAATAGTAGTAGTAGTAGTAGTTATAGTAATATGTTGTTATCTATCACTTATCGAGTAGTAGAAATACAAAGACATTTTTACTAATTTATCGAATCAAAGATTTCTAATCGAGCTAATCGTACTCTACCGTCTGTCCTACAGTACAGTTTATAACTGAAACTAAAAGGAACAATTCGGCTTAACGGCACTCCATCCCAGAATCTATTCTTAGATTAGTTCCGCTTAGTTACGTTTTAAAAGTGGTCCTGATTGATGAACATGCCCGCACTAGTAAGGGTAAAATGTACAGAGCATCGATAAGCTTTCGTGAACAATCTATAGTCTGTTCTGTAATTTAGGGTAAAAATATCCTGGAGCCATACAAAAAAAACTATGTTGAACATGTTTTGACCGATTCGTTGACTTATAACATAGCTAAGATGCTTGCGCCTTTGATACGTATTACACATCTTAGGCGATGGGCAGTAAAAAATTTTTTTTAGACAACATTACATTATCCATTGATATTGAATAAAAAAAAATGCTGCGTCGTCTCATCCTTCCAATATAGATTGTGGCTGTCACGGTCACTACAATTAAAATAGATTGCTAAAACTTTGGTAGATATGTTCGCAGCCTTTGTGGCTAAAGATCAGTTAAGAAGAAATGGGCAAGATGCCCGCACAAAAATGCTGACAATAATACAAAAAGTGCAGCTTAAACAAATGCTTCGCAATTTCGTTATACTTATAACTTCATAAACGTTCCGATATGTGATCTTTCTTAAATTTAATGAAACTTATTCACTTAACTAACTTTTGTGCAGATCATCTTTTGGCTTTCACTCACCATTTGGTTATGGCAGAGGAGGCATAAATATGGGGTGAATATATTATTATCACATGTTTTTATGTTTGTATTATTGAAAATTTTCATATTTTATATAGTGGCTATGGCAGTTTTAAAAGTCCCAAAATTGGACGACCACGACCACCTGATTTACAAGCTATGCTTAATCGAGGGTATATGTTCTATTTATTACATTTCATCTATCAAATTTAATATAATTTTTTCAGAGAAAGGGAACAACAACAGACTTTAAACTTTTTAAAGAGTATGGGACCGAAACAATTGCCCCCGTATGGTAGTTGTTCATCGTATATATTGCCAGTTAATGTGATGTATAATTGTCGCAATGAACAATGCCAAGTCAGCTGCCCACATATGCATAGCTTCCCAGATGGCACAAATGTTTTAAAACTTGTTTGTATTGGCGGTTCATGGATTATACGTAATTCGGAATTTATGAGTGTGCCACCATGTCAAGCTTCTTGCAATCCTGCATGTCAAAATAATGGTATCTGTGTGGAGGCTGGCTACTGCAAATGCCCTGATAATTTCTCAGGTCCTCTATGCCAATATAAGAAATCTATATGTGCTTCGAAGCCGCCGATACCGAAGAATTCTAAAGTCACATGTGCCAATAAGTATAGACCAGTCTTTTATTTACCTAATTTGAACGATTACTTGAACGTTTGTTTAATTCCTTAGTGTTTGCAATGCGGAGTGTATGCGTGGTTTTCGTTATCCCGATGGAAGTAATATAACTAATATTGAGTGCCAAGATGGTCAATGGGTACATACGAAATCAGGCTTGGCTAAGCCACCGGATTGTGCGCGTAAGTTTTCTCGGTTTTTGTTTTTTTTTTCAATTCATTTTATGTTGAGTATGGATTTTAATTTTAGCTACTTGCGCACCTGCTTGTGCCAATGAGGGACAGTGCATATCTTTTAATGTTTGCCAATGCTCGAAAATGTATCGTGGCGACCATTGTCAATATAATGTGGATGCTTGTAATATAACTAAAACTGCTTTTAACGGCAACTATAAATGTTCCTACGATCATGAGTTAACAAAATGTTCTCTTACTTGCCCCGATGTCCAAGGCCTTATAGTACACGGCAATTTGGAAGAGGAATATAAATGCAAATATAGTGAGGGTGAATTTTATCCCACCCCTTTACCGAAATGCATATATCGTAAGTGGAAAAAAAAGAAAAAACTTTACCATTGCTATACCACCATCAAAGGCAACACTCACAAGGAAGTTTTAGAGATTAGAAAAAGTATATATATAGATATTGTCGATCAGCCTCAAATTCTAAATGGATTTAAGCTCATCTGCCTACTGTCTGTTCGCGCAAAAAATTCCTTTGGTATCAAAAATGAAGCAATTTTTTGCAAGGACACGCCTACGCTATTACATAAACAGAGAACACTCTTGCTTACTCATAAACTATTATACAACAGTTGCAGCGATACAAATTTCGATGTATATCTGCAGTCTATGAATGATGCTACTGTATCTATATAAAAATGTGAAAAATCGGCCACGCATACACCGTATTATATAAAGCATTGAAATTTTATGTTTCAAGTTTTAATTGATTACTCATGAAAGCCTGATAATTTTCACATATAATCTAAAATTAGTAGTCAGCCGCTTCTGTCTGCTAGGTTTTCATCATCTCTTGTCCATCGAATTGCTGATATTTGAAAAAACTAAATCTATCTATGCGTTCTCGAAAGTTGTCATTGTATCCGAAGAAAGAAAAGCATTCCGCGCTTAATGCCATAATAAATAAACAGAGCATATCTAGAAAGCTTTCGATTTTCTTTAACCTAACGTGCTAAGTAGAGCAGATACAAAAGAGTCTTTTTCTACAGTGGCGTTTAGTGGCCTCTTATTGGATTGCCTCAAAAATTGTACGTAACCTCATCTTTGTTTAAACAACATTTAATTGGCTTTGGAAACCACAAACTACCGCAACGAACGAATATTCTCGTGGGACACCATTTTCATATCTTCTTCATACTGAATGGTGCATATTGTTAACGTTGCTTTAATTTTCAGCTATTGAGTGCTGGGTTCGTGACTTCGGGTAAATGTTTGCTTTTAACAATTCAATTTTCTTCCCCTTATCTGGAACTCATTCTTCATTGCCCTTTTATTCTAGTAAGTTGTGCACTTAAATTTTCATCCAACGTTTTCGTTCTTTTTCTAGACTGGCGATGTCCAGAGCCGCCTCTTTATTGCCTGATTTTTTTCTAATTTTTATTCAACCCGGCTGATGCTCTATTATTGACTTTCGCGTTTTATGCACGTTTTCATTCGATCTTCTCTTCGAATGGTTGGGCGATAGAAACTGTACTTCTCTCAATTTGACGATATACTCGGTGGGTTCGGTTTCATGTCGTAGCTCGGGTCTTGTTCTTTCTCTCAATTTGGCGATAATTTCCACCTTGCCAATAAATATAATATTCATCGTCATCACCTAGCTGCCCGTGTATACGTCTATACTTTAAGCTTCCTCTTCTTAATGTTGCCAATAATCGATTTCCCTAATTTTTCATTTAACCTAAAATTCTCATCCTGCCTTATGCCAGAAATGCATTGCGAACTATTTATTCCGGACAATTCTCCGTTGCAGGCGTCATGCCTTCGGTAATGTGTAAATATCCTCGTCTAAAAGATTAATTCCATAATCGAGGCTTTTCTATATCCGAATGAATTTTGCATTGCAGGCCTCATGTCCCTGGCAGTATGTAAAAGTTGTCGTCTGGAAGATTAACTTCATAATCAAGGTTTTTTTTATAATAAAACTTTTTTTTAAGAAAATACAGCACAAATATATAGAGCAGGAGTACACAGAGCAGGAGTACAGTTTATATAACATCACGTAATGATGCGTTTACAGCGAAGATTTTCTTCAAATTGAAGCAAAACTCATAATTATAAACTTATAGGTATGTAGGAATAGAGTTTTTGGAATTTCCTTCAGTTAGTTTTCATGAATTTGAAATAATTGCCATTAGTCGCAGTTTTTTCATTGCATTCATGAAATTCTCCACTAAATACTAACATGAAACTAAAAATTGTTGTTCCTCAGCGAGAATGAAAGAAAATGAATGCAGAATAATGATTGCATACATAAAACAATTGTTATCGTAGATGTCAACAACATTGATTGCTTTTTCGGATTCCCATTCCGCATAAGGATGCTAATGTAACTCAAGCTCTTATACACTTGTGTGTATAAATCTAATTTGTAGTGTAGTATTTTAAGGATGAGAATCAGCTCAATAATGTGATTTCACCCATAAAATTTTCTACGCCAAATTTACACGACATTCTTCTATTGTTGTGACGACGCGAACAAAATTTTATTTTCATATTTTGCTTGTGGGGGGTTTTGACCTCTCCTAGAGTATTGGGTTTTACAAAAGGACCTTCCTACAAATGATAAGTTAAATCTGTTATTAGCCAGTCCTTAATAGTCGACATTTCTAATAATATGGAGTGATCACGTTATGTTGTGGTAAGAGGCCAGTGAAATCTATAAAAAGAGTATATGTAGATATATACAATGGGTTTTCATGTAAAAAGCAGATAGATCCATTAATATTTATATTATAAGTTCTGTGCGGTATTCTTTGTGTTGCGTAAATGTTTGTTTAGATCAGAAACAAGGCAATTTTTGTAAGACAATTATATTTAGTTAGGTAAAATGAAGGTGGTGGGTATGAAAAATTCGTCTATAGCCGGATATAATTTTCTGATATGATTTTTTTCAGCGTCTGGATATATAACTAGACCCGGGACACAAAAAGCTCATTTTGTGCAACATAATGGCTTAGTAGTTAGCGGTGGAGGCATTTATGAACATTTAACCGAACGTGAAAAGATGATAGCTGTGATAGCCAAATATAAAGATCTCGAGCAAAAAAGCGTAAATCATGAAATCCATATTTCTGAATTATGTCTCGTGATGTCATTGAGTTTCGTTCATTTCAGGAGTGGTGGTCGTCTGAAGAGACAGTCGTTTCGCCCATTAGTTATGCTTTATATACGACTGCTGATATAAATGTTACCCTCGATTACTCACCACAGCCAGCTATTTGCGCTACTTGGGGTGGCAATAATGTAAAAACTTTCGATGGTTTCATATATAAGTAAGTTTCTCCAATTTTCCCTATCATTCTTTTGAGCTTATAACTCTTTTTTTATTTATTCTTTTCGTAGAGCGTCTCTTTCTTCTTGCCCTCACACTCTGATTATCGATCAATTGGACGGCACCTTTGATGTTACACTTAAAGCTTGTCCACGGGGTTCTGAGTACGGGTGTTCTCACTCTCTCAGTTTGTATTGGGATTCAATTTTGTTCACTTTTGAAAACCAAAGTAGGCAGAAAGTGTTATCGTCTCTTTTACAAATATTGTTTTCAATGAGATTCTTTCTTTAGACGGGACTATAAACATGTATACACCTACAAAAAAATTTCCTATACCGGCTCAAGTAATGGGTATGAAAGTAATGCCGGTGGCTCAGCATTTGCTGATTGATTTAGTACGGGTAGGCTTACAAATAGATTGGGATCATTATCAATATGTAGGCGTACGAGCCAGTCCGGTGTTATGGGGCCGCGTTGGTGGTCTTTGTGGCTCGTTAGATGGCGATTATCGTAATGATTTGATTACCAAAGCTGGTGCAGTGGTAGAAACGGTAAACTCGTTCACCGATTCTTGGCGTGTTGAGGATCCGTCAAGCACTTGCGTTATGGAAAACCAAGTTGAACTGGAATATGATCCGAAATCGTGTGACACCGGCAAACGTAAGCAAGCAGTTAGTGTTTGTGAGCGTTTGTTAGCCAATGAAAAATTGGAAGAATGTATGAAACTATTCAATTTTGAGGCATTGTTACGTAGTTGCATCGATGATTATTGCAATTGCGACAATCGAGAGCATCCGGAATCATGTAATTGTAATACACTTTCCACGCTGGCCAAGGAGTGTACTTTTAAAGGCGTGAAATTGGAACATGGTTGGCGAAATTTAGAAATATGTCGTAAGTTTTGTTTTGAAAAGAGATTTTTTTGCTCGCTTAATATTAATTGTTGTCTTCACTAGCGATTAGTTGCAATTTTGGTAGAGTGTATTTGCCTTGTGGACCTGATGTAGAAGCTAGTTGCGAATCTGCCGCCGTGCCTACTACTGGCAAATGTAATGAAGGTTGTTTCTGTCCTGCGGGTACTGTGCAATATAAAGAAGCTTGCATTACTCCGGAATTGTGTCCGTGCAAAATGCGTGGCAAGGAATTCAAACCCGAAGCTACTGTCAAGAAGAACTGCAATACATGGTGCGTTTCTATACGAGAAAGAATATATTTTTTCTGTAGCATATATTATATATATATATATATTCTTTATATATATATATATATATATATATCTATATCTATATATATACGTATATATATATATACATATATATATTCTTTTTGTTGACTTTCTTATAACTTTAGCACTTGCAAAAATGGCCAATGGAGCTGTACGGATAAAGCTTGTGGCGCCCGTTGTGGTGCCATAGGTGACCCGCATTATCAAACTTTTGATGGCAAGCGTTACGATTTCATGGGTAAATGTACTTACTACATGCTTAAGACGAGCAATATTTCAGTGGAAACAGAAAACGTAGCCTGCTCAGGAGCCATTTCAGAAAATCTTAATCTTTCGCCATCTTCTGAGAATCCTTCTTGTACCAAATCTGTTACTTTACGTTTCATACAAAACTCAGGCATTCCAACAGCCGTAAAATTAGATCAGGGATCTTTTGTAACAGTAAATAACAAGCAAATCATGAAGCTACCAAAAATATTAGGGAACAACGAAGTTTTGATACGTCATGTAAGTTCAACTTTTATGACGGTCGAATTTAACAACGGTCTACGTGTATGGTGGGATGGAATATCCCGTGTGTACATAGATGCCCCACCAAATTATCGCGATCAAACAGCTGGTCTATGTGGAACATTTAATTCCAATACCCAGGATGATTTCTTGACACCTGAGGGCGATATAGAAACCTCAGCGGGGCCATTTGCTGATAAATGGCGTGTTAAAGATACCTGCGATTTTAGCGCACAACCTTCAATAGTGCCACATCCCTGTACCGCGCATCCGGAAAAAAAATCATCCGCCGAAAAATACTGCGCTTGGGTTACCGAAGATATTTTTCAAGATTGTCATTGGACCGTGGAACCCGAACAATATTATGAGGATTGCTTATACGATGTGTGCGCTTGCAAGGAAGAACCAGAGCAATGCTATTGTCCCATATTGTCGGCTTATGGCGCCGAGTGTATGAGACAAGGCATTAAAACGGGTTGGCGCCTAGCTGTAAAAGAATGCGGTATGCTTTTATATAGTATTAATTAAAAAGTCTTGATTTCATTCTTGTGTATTGGTAGCCATAAAATGCCCAAACGGCCAGGTATACGATGAATGTGGTGATAGCTGTTCTCATACATGCGAAGATTTGGCTACAAAGAATACTTGCCAAAGAGAATGCGTGGAAGGTTGTCGTTGTCCGCATGGCGAGTATTTGAACGAAAACAACGAATGTGTGCCTCAAAGCAAGTGTCATTGTTCGTTTGACGGCATGACATTTAAAGCAGGATATAAAGAAGTGCGTCCAGGCAGAAAATTTTTGGACTTATGTACTTGTCGCAATGGCTTGTGGGAGTGCGAAGATGCCGAACCGGGCGATGATAAACAGTATCCTCCATCTTCTGAATTGAAAGCAGAGTGTGCAATGCGACCTTACGCTGAATTCACAAAATGCGTACCTAAAGAACCAAAGACTTGTAAAAATATGCATTTGTATGTTGAGGATTTAGACGACTGTCTTCCTGGCTGTTCGTGCATGATTGGCTACGTATACGATACATCAAGGAAAATGTGTGTACTGCCAGAGAATTGTTCGTGCCATCATGGGGGAAAAAGCTTCAGCGATGGTGAAAAAATCCAAGAAGATTGCAATACTTGGTAGGTGGTGTTCATTAACCCAGAGGAAGGGCTTTTTTTTTTTGTTTTTTTGACCACTAACGGATAACAAAATTATAGTTGGCTGCGATCGAATAGTTTGCACTCAACTAATTTGCGCTAAAAAAAAAAAAACGAAGAAAATTACATTTTAATGGGTGGGCGATTTTTTCAATTTTTTTACACGTGCTGTGGGATTGTTTTTGACAAATTTGACCTCGATGCATTTACCTTTTGTAATCAAAGACATTACAAAAAACGCGTATGCAGAATGACAATCGTAAAAACGATTTAGAATTTAATGTTTGCAAACACTATATATATTTTATGCGTATAAAAATATCCGCATTATTCATTCGTTGCGAAATACTTGATTTGCGTGAGTTATTTTCATTTCAGCGAATGCCAAGCCGGTTATTGGAAGTGTTCCGATAATGGTTGTGAGTCCACCTGTAGTGTTTGGGGGGACTCTCATTTTACTACGTTCGACAATCACGAGTTCGATTTTCAGGGAGCTTGCGACTACGTGCTATCGAAAGGCGTAGGCCCCAATGGTGATGGGTTTACGATAGTCATACAAAATGTATTATGCGGTACTATGGGAGTCACTTGCTCAAAATCAGTGGAAATTTCTTTAACCGGCAATATTCAAGATACGTTAACTTTAACCAGTGACTCTTCTTATCTAGCAGATCCTAGCAAGTCCTTAATGAAAAGTAAATTGGAGTAAAGTGAAGTAAATTTAAATGTTAGCAAGAGTTTTTCTTCCAGAATTACGTGACACTGTTAATGCGAAAGCGCATGGTGCGTTTCATATTTATAAGGCGGGCGTGTTTATTGTCATTGAAGTGGTGCCATTGCATTTGCAAGTTAAATGGGACGAGGGTACGAGAGTGTATGTGAGATTGGGCAACGAGTGGAAAAATAAAGTGAATGGTTTGTGTGGCAATTACAATGATAATGCTATAGATGACATGCAAACACCATCGCAAAGCCCAGAGACCAGTCCTCTTATCTTTGGTCATTCCTGGAAGGTGCAAAAGTATTGTGCTATGCCAACACAACCAATTGATGCGTGCAAAGAGCATCCAGAACGTGAAACGTGGGCGCAACTCAAATGCGGAATTCTCAAGTCTCCTATGTTCAAGGTACGTAGAAAATAGCTGACCTGACGAAAAACGCTGAGCATAAAATTTAGTTTCTTTCGTTTTTCGTTTTTGTCTTTTTTTTTTGTATTTTAACATTGCCTGTATGTTTTGCAATTTCATTGTAATATAATTAAAATTCCTAACGTAGGATTGTCATGCTGAAGTGCCATTTGAAAGGTACTTAAAACGTTGCATATTTGATACGTGTGCTTGTGATCAGGGCGGCGACTGTGAATGTCTGTGCACGGCAATTGCAGCCTATGCACATGCTTGTTCTCAAAAGGGTATTAACATTAGGTGGCGTAAACCTCACTTTTGTCGTAAGTATTGTTTACCAAAGTATGCATTCAATTAAAATATGTTTCTTTCACATGCAGTTTTTGGATTATATTGTTTGAAGGGTTTTTAACTGTCTCTCTATCTATTTCATTTTGCTTTCGTTCGTACACATGTATTGAACTTAATTATTCGTTAATAAAATGGTTGACTATGAAAAATTCAAGTACACACAACCTGTAACCTAGACTAGTGAAACTTATGTGTTTGATGTAATTCGCAGCTTGTCGCTCTATGGCGAGACTTTTGGTTAAAGAAAAATAAAGATTTAAATTGAAATGCGCTTGTAAATGTAAATTAGTTTCTAAAGATACTACTGTTGACATCGCTGTTTTCGTGTATGCGTAAATCTTTAGAAAAAAAATGGGATGCAATTTTGGCTGACGTGATAATCGTCACAAACAAAAGCCGGTACAAGTTTCGACTTTATCGGCTTGCTTATTGGTTAGTAGATAAAAAAAGAAAATAAATAAATAAATAAATAAAACCATCTTACAGATCAGAACGTCTGTAATATAATTTCCGACACACTATAGTTTATGGCACTTTTTCTTATGTTTGCCGAGCACAAAGCATTATGCACACATTCACTAATAATTACTTGATATTTATAAGAAGAGATTTATAGGTTAGGTAAACAATTTTACTTAGTCGCATGACATTTTAATAAAGAAACGTTAAGAGAACAAAAGTATTTAAATTGTTATAAAAAAATGCATTTACTTTTTAAAGCTATGCAGTGTGATCCTCAGTGTTCGGAGTATAAAGCTTGTACACCAGCTTGTGCGGTAGAAACTTGTGATAACTTTTTGGATCAAAGCGCAGCTGAGCATATGTGTAAAAACGAAAATTGTGTTGAAGGATGTCTTATAAAACCCTGCGAAGAAGGTCTAATATATTCGAATGATACTTATAAGGATTGCGTTCCCAAGTCGGAGTGCAAACCCGTTTGCATGGTTAAGGATGAGAAAACCTACTATGAAGGTGATATTCTCTATCAAGATGCTTGTTCGACGTGTCGTTGCTCGAAACGTAAAGAAGTGTGCAGCGGTGTTAGATGCACGGAAGATATTATTACTGATAAACCTTCGAAAATTATCGAAGGTATTACGCTTAAGCCTATTTCCGATGGAATGCAATCTAAATGTATTAAGGGCTGGACTCGCTGGTTTGATAACGATAACGATTCCTCCGGCAAGTTGGTACGATTAAACGATGAAGAGAAACTACCTCGATACAACCGAGGAGAAACAATTTATGGTACATGCCAAACAAAATATATGAAGGATATTGAATGTCGTGTTATAAACAGTCACGAGCCGTCGGATTTTATGGACGAAAATGTTGACTGTAATTTACAGAACGGTCTAACCTGCGTGGGCCAGTGTCATGACTACGAAATACGTGTATTCTGTCAGTGTGAGGAGAAAGAAATAAGTGTTTTCCCGCATACAGAAAAACCTGAAATTGGGCAAAAATGTGATTTACTAATGGCTGAATACAAGGAGCATCCGGAAGATTGTCATCGATTCTTGCATTGCACTCCTAAGTCTACAGGCGAATGGACCTATGTGGAGAAAACCTGTGGCGATAGTATGATGTTTAATCCCGTTATGAACAACTGCGATCATATAAGGGTAGTGCAAGAGTTGAAACCTATGTGCAATATAAATGATACGGATGTGGACGTATGCCCCGAAGGCCAGGTTATTTCCGATTGCGCTAATCAATGTGAGCACACTTGCCACTTCTATGGAATGGTAAGTTTTGTTTTTTTTGCATTTTTCTTAAAAGTAAAGACACTGAGCTGAATTTCAGACAGCGAGAGCGAAAGACTTTTCAAAGATAGCGGTTGCTAAACGGCTACCGATATGTCTTTTTTAAGATGTTTTTAATTTAGTAATTGTTCAGATTATAAGTTATTTATATTTCAAATAATTTTAATGATTTTTAAAGATATTGAAGAAGCGTGGTCTTTGTAAAGAAGGAGAGCACTGCAGACCTGGCTGTGTGCCTAAAGAACGTGCTGATTGTCAGGACGGTGGTAAATTTTGGCGTGATGAAAACACATGCGTTGAAGCTGACGAATGTCCTTGTATGGATCAATCTGAAAAATATGTCCAACCTCACATGCCGTTCGTAGGTGAGTTGGAGGTGTGTCAATGCATTGATAACGCTTATACCTGTGTGCCCAATAAAGTTGTGGTAGTTACTTTGGCTCCAGTAACAAATGCAACTCCTATTACGGATACCACTCCATTCGAAGAAGTCTTCCCCGCTACGATAGCAACGCTTAAGCATTGCGACACTGAACTGTAAGTTCGTCTACAGAATTGGATATTTCTCTTATTAATTTAAATTTTAATTTCATACAGGTTAAGACCGGTTATTCAAGGTCCGGAACCTTTACCAGATTCTGTGCTTAGCGCCAGCTCTAGCCTTGGTCCCAAGTATTCTCCGCAAAATGGTCGTTTATTGCCTTCGTCTAAAAAGCAGACGGACGCTTGGGCTCCTATGATAAATGACCAAATGCAATATTTACAAGTCACTTTACCCGAGAGAGAACCGCTCTTTGGTATCGTTATGGCTGGTCATCCTGATTTTGATAATTATGTAACTTTATTCAAGGTGGGAGAAGAACCGGAGATTACTTCTTTATGAAATATTATTGAATGCAATTTTTAATCTTCAGATTTTATATAGTCAAGATGGCGTGGCCTATCATTATCTCGTAGACGATACTGAAATGCCACAATTGTTTAATGGTCCCTTAGATTCACGTATTCCTGTGAAAGCTCTTTTCAAAATACCCATCGAAGCCAAATCAGTACGCATTTACGCGCTAAAATGGCACGGTTCTATAGCCATGCGTGTGGAATTGTTAGGCTGTGATGCCATTGACTCTACGATGATTGAAGAATATGTGACAGAACCTTCTGTCAGAATGCCAACAGAAGAATATTTCAGGGAATGGGAAGAGGATGAGAAATGCATCGACGAAATGGGAGTTGACAATGGACAGATGAGCCCCAATCAAATTAAAGTCAGTAGCATATGGCGCATTTCGAAGCCCGCACAAAAACCAAGACTGATTGATTCACTGAAGCTTTCTTCAAACGATGGTTGGAAACCTATGATCAATACACCAAATGAATATATAGAGTTTGACTTTTTGGAACCACGAAATATATCCGGGTTCATTACGAAAGGGGGTCCAGAAGGATGGGTAACAGGTTTCAAGGTACTGTTTTCTAAAAATAAGTTGATTTGGAATACGGCACTCACACCGGAGGGACAACCGAAAATTTTCCGTGCTAATCAGGACTCCGATACTCAGCAAATTTCTAAATTTAAGACACCGATTTTAACTCAATATATAAAGATCGTACCCGCTAGATGGGAAAATAATATTAATATGCGTGTCGAGCCTCTAGGATGCTTTATAGAATATCGTAAGCGTTTATCGAAAGTTTTGAATTAGGTATTATTTTTTTAATTTATGATTGCAGCTGTAACCAGAGATTCTCTAGTAGAGATAGAGCAGCCAAAACATCCGAAATGTTTGAACTGTGAGGGTGTGGTTGACCCAAATAGTAAAGAAGGCGATTGTAAATGTCAAGACGGCCTTTATTGGGATGGTAGCTCTTGTGTACAAAGTAATCTTTGCCCGTGTGTTGAGAACTATATTACTTATCCAATTGGCTCCAAATATGAAAACAAGGACTGCGAAGAATGTGTCTGTGTTTTGGGTGGTCATAGCAATTGCAAGCCTAAAAAATGTCCACCTTGCACGGACAACTTACGTCCAGTAGTCGGCTCTGGTTGTTATTGTAAATGTGAGCCATGTCCTAAAGAACAAAAATTATGTCCCTCAAGTGGTGACTGTATACCAGAGGTTGTTTGGTGTAATGGTGTTCAGGATTGCGCTGACGATGAAGACGCAACATGTAGAGATAAATATGACGTTATACCGGAGAAACTAGTTCTAAATGATAGTAAGTCTATTTTACGTTAAATAAAGTAGAATAGAATTAAAAATGATTGTTTATTGCTTTTTTTAAGCTGAAATTATAACATGCCCGGTACCGGAATGCCCGCCTCAGATGAAACTCAAATTGACAGAAAAAAAACTAAGGAAAATGTCACAAATGTTCTCATCAACGTAAGTCAAATTAAATATATATATATATATATATATATATATATATAATATAATGTCGTCTATTTGCTTCGGCAGGTTTACGGAAAAATATACAGTCACAAGAGAAGGCAATAAGGTCACTAAGACGAAAATTATAACATCCTCTGAAGAAATTTTACCGTCCACGAAACAAGAAATTGATTTTAATAGAGAGCAAGCCTGTGATGAGTTTATTTGCGTGCCAATACCTGTGAAGATAATAAAGAGGAATGAGACCACATCTTGTCCCGAACCGAAATGTCCCAATAATTATGATGTGGAAGTGGATAGATCTACGTCTAAGCCCGGCGATTGTCCGAGATACAGTTGCATTTTAAAACCAACTAAAGACGATGTGTGTGAGATTAGCGGCAAAAGCTTCACTACCTTTGATGGTATCGAGTTCAAGTACGATACCTGCAGTCATATATTAGCTCGAGACCTAATTAATTCGTCTTGGATTATAACTGTGCACTTACAATGTACGGATGAATTACGTAAGATATGTCGTAAAATGATTACAATTAAAGATATGGAAAAGCAATCTATTCTCACCATAATGCCTAATATGCGTGTAAACTTTAATGGTTTTGAGTACACCGTACAACAACTTATCAATTCGCCCACATGTAAAGCTTCGTTTGTGATATCACAACCTGGCAATACCGTGCTAGTGGTATCACCAAAGCGCGGTTTTTGGGTTTTATATGATGATATAGGTTACATTAAAATCGGTATATCCTCGAAATACATTAAGACAGTCGATGGCTTATGTGGTTTTTACAATGGCGTAGCTAGCGATGACAAACGTACACCGAATGGTACTATTGTAGCGAATACCGTTAAGTTTGGCGACAGCTGGTTCGATAAGCGTATACCAAAGGAAGAGTGTTATCCACAGACGTGTCCTCTAGACTTGCAAAAAAAAGCTTTAGCATTATGTAATACCATTAAGTAAGTAATTGTGTGCCCTTTTTCATTAATTTTGTTGTAATTGTTATAAAGAAATGGTTGCCAAATTTATTGTAAACGACTGTTTTTTTCAATGCTTTAGGCATCCAACATTTTTGAAGTGCGGCAAATCGGTCAATTACAAACAATTTGTCAGCAAATGCATGGAAACTACTTGCGAATGCCTTAAGGCGAGCAACGGAGACGCAAAAAGTTGTAAATGTAACCTATTGCAGGATTTCGTTAAGAAATGCCTGACAGTAAATCCAAATATTCAATTGGACACATGGCGTGCTGTACATATGTGTGGTAAGTTTGTGTGTGCATGATTTCGAAAATTAAGAAAGTTTCAAAAAGAGAAATTCTGCATTTTGTTTTAGAAATTACATGCCCTGCCCCTCTAGTTCATTCGGATTGCTATAAGAGACGCTGTGAGTTATCATGTGACACTTTGAATAGCGATGATTGTCCTGTTATCTCAGACGCTTGCTTCTCTGGCTGTTATTGTCCGGAGGGTACAGTACGTAAAGGTGAAACATGTGTTACTTTGGCTGATTGTAAGGATTGCGTTTGCAATACCATAGGTTCTTCAAAGTATTTCACCTATGATCGTAACAGTTTCACTTTTAACGGAAATTGCACCTACCTGCTAAGCAGAGATATTGTTCTGCCCGGAGTGCACACTTTCCAGGTAAGTGAATAAAATTTTCTTCAATTTCAATAGTTATGCGTTTAAAAATCATTCATTCATAACATAAAATACGTTTACACAAAACGTAACTCTGTTATTTCATTTTTGCTATTTTTGTGAAAAGCAAACGTTAGTGTATATGTTCTTCTTTTAGGTTTATGTTACTATGGACGATTGTCATAAATTAGGACGTACAACAGCGCCCGAGTTCTCAAGCTGTGCCAAGTCTTTGCATATTTTAAATGGCGATCATGTTATTCATATTCAACGATCATCTGACAATCCGAAAGCTTTGAAAGTATTTGTCGATGGTTTTGAGGTTAAAAAGTTGCCTTATAAAGATACATGGATTAATTTGCGTGAAGTCGTTGGCAAGGAACTAATTCTCACTTTGCACGAATCACATGTCGAACTAAAGGCTGCCTTTGATGATTTAATATTCTCCATTGGTGTCTCCAGTGTTAAGTATGGAAGTAAAATGGAAGGTTTGTGCGGTGATTGTGATGGTAATCCGAACAATGATTTCCAAGAAAACCCTGCAAAGAAAAAAAAACGAAAACCTAGCCAGGACTTTGTAGACATAATGAATAGCTGGCGAGCAGATGAGCCCAAATTAGGTCTAGACGCTAGCGAATGTTTAAGTGAAGAGGTCGTGAAAGAAGATTGTTTACCTTTGCCGCCGGAAAAAGATCCTTGTTTATGGTTCTTTGAAGAGGCAATTTTCGGCAAATGTAATATGATTGTGGATCCTGTAATTTACGTGTCAGCCTGTCAGCAGGATATATGCAAAGTAGGTAACGATCAAAAGGGCGCTTGTGAGTCTTTGTCGGCCTATGCAAACGAATGCGCCAAACATGGTATATGTTTAAATTGGCGACGACCTGATTTGTGCCCGTATGATTGTCCATCCGATATGACGTACGATGCTTGCGGTTGTTCAAAGACTTGCGAGACTATGAAGTTGCTTACGGAATTCCAGGCAGTTAATATGAAAACTAGTGCTGTGGTGAATACAGTCTCTTCGGACGATATATGCCCAATTGAAGAACGTTTTGAGGGCTGCTTCTGTCCTCCAGGTAAAGTTATGGAAAATGGTAAATGCATTAGGGAAGAAATGTGCGTCAAATGTGAGGACAGCGATCACATATTAGGCGATAGATGGCAAAAAGATAAATGCACGGAATGCTTATGTGATAAAAACGGTAAAACGCAGTGCGTTGAACACAAGTGTTCGGTTGAGGAAAATATTTGCGCTGAAGGATACAAGCCGCAGAAGATTGTAAATGAAGATCAATGCTGTCCTAGATACGCATGTGTGCCCGAACCAAAATTACCCCCGCCTGATGTTTGCTTGGAGCCTATTATGCCTGTTTGCGGGCCCGGACAATTCAGAAAGCAGAAAACAGGTCCCGATGGGTGTCCGCAATATATATGTGGTAGGAGAGCAATTAAGACTTAAAGAGAGAATAGTAAATAAAAAAGTATTTTTGATTAATTTATTAGAATGTAAACCTAAAGAGGATTGTGATCCATTAGAACCTGTCGGTTATTTAAAGTATGGTCAAACCGTTGTGAAAGAAGAAATAGGCTGCTGTCCCACCCAAAAAGTGATATGCGATAAAACAACTTGCCTCCCCAAACCGCCAAAATGCGGCATGGAGTTCTACGAAGTTTACACTAAGCAAGAACCGGATGATTGTTGTCCCAGTTATGAGTGCGGTAAGAATTTCTAATTTTATTTGAAACTTCCCTTCGGAATTGAGAATTTTTTTCGCTTTTATTTTTAGGACCACCCAAGGATCTTTGTATAGTTGATTATGGCCCTGGTAAGAAGTTCACTAAGAAAATTGCAGAAAAATGGATTGATCCTCGTGATCCTTGCAAACATGAAATGTGCGCTTATGGACCAAATGATTCGACCCAAGTCATAACCACTACTGATATATGTGAAAAGAAATGCTTAAAAGGCTTTAAATATGTTAATGCGGATCCTATTAAATGCTGCGGCGAATGCATACAAACTGCTTGCCTACATCACGATGTCTTATACGAACCGGAAGACATTTGGAAATCAGAGGACAATTGTACAACGTATAAGTGTACAAAAGTGGGTACAAGTCTGATTGTAAATTCGGCACAAGAAACATGTCCCGATGTAAGCCAATGTTTTGGCGAGCTATTAGAAGATGAAGGAGGCTGCTGCAAGATATGCAAAGAAACACCGAAATCAGAATATCTTAGTAAATAGAATGGAAAAGAAAAGAAGCAAAATGAAAGATTGGACTAAACTTAATTTAATTTTTGTTTTTTCTTTAAATAGAAAACTGCTTGCCGTTATCTTTGGCGGATACCGAAACTGTAAATTTGATTAAAGTATTTAAGCCGGGCCATGGCCATTGTAAAAATAATCAACCTATATTGGGCTTTACGGAATGTATGGGCACTTGTAATTCCGGCTCTAAATACAATGAATGTGAGAGAGAAAATTATTTTTTATATATTTATATTTCATATTTTTAATGTTTTATTGATTGTTTTTTTTTTTTTTTTTTTTGTTGCAGTGACATATGCTCATGATAAAGTATGCCATTGTTGTAACATTAAATCGTATAAGAAAATTGCGGTACCTTTGACTTGCGCTGATGGTGTGCAGTTTATTAAGGAATTAGATATTCCCGCGGCTTGTGGTTGCCAGCCTTGTTCCGATTCTGGCGAATATCATACTGACAATTTCTTGGATGTACGTTTACAACCTTTGCCTTTAGCGCAGTTAATAGAGAGACATTAAGTCTTTTAATCTCGAGCAAATAATTTGAAATTTCAGAATTTAACTTTTATTTTTGTTTTTGTAAACAATAAAACAAATTTCTTAACGAATATCATTATTCTAACACACACACACACACACACACACACACACACACACACACACATACGCAATGCGCTTCGATAAGGCGATTTTGTAACAAGTTTCAGCTTGTAAAAAATTTCTTATCTAAATTATATGAAAGGTCGGTCAGTCTCCTGAACGTTAACACAAAATTGCCGTTTAAATAAACAGGAAAAATTAAAACCAAAAAGTTATTCAAAACTAGTTGGCTTAGATCGGATAAACTAAAGTGATGTTGAAATTCTGCAACCACGATTTATGGGCATTATGCATTATTGGTAGCTAATAATGTTTTATAATATGCATATAGTCTTGAAATATAGATGACAGGACGTCATAGGGCTTTCAACGAACTGGAAATGCAATAAGTCTATGATATGGTTTTCATATGCACTAGTGGCCAGTGAATTCTTGGATTGATTTTGAACTTGAGAACTTTGGTAAAGAGGAGGAGTGCAGGCTTGTAAACAAATTTTTGAGAACGGACAGTGGAAAAAGCAAATTTGCCTTGTTAGATAAATGTTTTGTTAAGCAAATGGTGCTTTCGACCTCTGAGCCATTTGCTTTGTTCAGTATTATATAAAGCTTGATAATTGTATTTATCCTTTATGAAATAAATCATTTAAGTTTTCAGCTCTCATTACTTGTTGAGAAGACTTTTCATTCTCATTGCAATTGTATTCTCTTTAATGAAAAGCTTTCTGACGTCATCAATAGCTTTTTGAATCTTTTTTTTTTTTTTTTTTTTTGTGTCTAATGCATGCTATGCATTTTATCCACCAACTTATCCAAACTTGAATTGTTCTCACAATATTCTTTATTCTCTCTCTCTCTCTCTCTCTCTCTCTCTCTCTCTATCTCTCTATCTTTCTTGTCATGCACACACAACTTCTTTAACTCTCTGTGTATGAAAATTTCCAAAGATGCTGAATTCCTCTCTTATGTCTTTCGTAACCCGTTTTCATTACAATTTTTCGTTTTGCTAACTGTTCTACTGCTCACTTCCTATCGTTTACTCCCATAAGTTGTTTTCATTCTCACAGCATATCTCTCTTACGTTTAAATCTAACTAACTTATGACTTAACGTTGAAAATTACCGCTGAACATACTTTAAAGAAATCTTCACTGGTATGCTCGCGTCTCAAAAAGACAAAATTTTAAATAATCAAACAATGATTTTCGATTTTCAGGATTTTGAATCTTTGGATATTTGCGACGTTTGCCAGTCGCGTCAGTTGCTTCAGTCGCGACAGTCGCTTGCCGTTTTTGAATTATGAACGAGAAGGATATGTAAATTCCTTGTTTATAAGTACGTAAATATGTACGTAATTTCATTGTCTATTCACATATTCCATCATTTCTTTCTGCCTTCTTTTCCTGCCTTTTATTTATTTATTTTTTTATAAAGAGACGTATTTAAATTACGACGTTACTCTTGCGTGTTTCTTTGTATAAAGAAACGCGAAGGAAAGGACGCGCCGCGCGCGCGTAATTATTATTAAAAATCGAAGGATTGGAAAAATAGAGGAAAAGTACCAAATATCGCCTTAAGCATTGGGGTTTTTTTTTCGTCTTCTTCTCTTCTCATTTTCTTCCATATTTATAAAACAAAACATCAACGATGTGATATAAATGGCTTTGAAGTGAAAGTTGAGGTAATTTTAGTATTACTTCAAACAACACTCCAGTACTATAAAATTTTAATATATAAACTTTTAAAGTTCAATTCATTTTTTATAATTGGAAGTGTCCTGAAGTCCTCTTCAGGATTTACTAAGATAACTCACAATTTCTTGACCATATTACTTAATTTCTTCAATATCACAATTTTGTAGTTGTGTGAGTAAATCAACTGAAAATATCACGGTGAGCAAGGGAGTCAAGATATTCGATGTGTCTTTTCAGTTGCTGTACACCCGTAATCGATGAAATGACATTTAGAGGAGATCAGACTTCGGAAAAGTTGCCGTATATTTTACTGTCGGTCACTGCTTCTGCGTTCCTTGACAACTACTAACATTCGGTATAACGAAGGGAGGGATCAATTAACTTCACTGAGCATTCGCACATTCGATTTTGTCTCTTTATTCAAAATTCCGTTCAGTCGTATTATACTACCTACAGGTAATTCTGGTTGCCAGATGAAGAGACACAGATAATATGCGTCATATGGATTTTTATTACAATAATAAGCGTACAATGAGTGGCATATAAGGGGATTACTTTTCATATCCCCCCATGAAACAGTTGCGAAGTGTAGCGTATCATTTAAGATATCGCATTTGATATGAGTTCCGAAAAAGAAGCGACAAATCGATTGCTTGTAAAAATTTATGTAAGAAGAGAAGCAATAAATGCTCGGCCCTGTAAAAGATAGTTTCAAAGAATTCAGTCGCAAATAAGATCGTCGATTTAAGTGAAACGGTTGATTTTCCGATCCATGTTGGAGAGTAACCCATACCTAAAGGCTTTGCACCTGCAGACCACAATTGAATTATTGATAATAATTGCTTGATAAAAGAATCGTAAAGAATCCATAGACAAAGACGATGCCATCGTCTAAAATTCTCTTCAAGTAATATAATTATTAAACTGAAAGCCGACTTCATTGGGATGAAATCATAATCTTGCTCGATAATATCTAGCAACAAGTCACTTCACATTCTTGTTCTTAATTTAAAGCGATACCTAAAAAGATGAATTGAAGTTTGTCCGCAAGAAGCGCCTCATCAATCAAAATTTAAGTGATAAATTTGCTCGACCATCAATACGAACGTACAGTTAGTTGCAAACATCCTACTTAGTGCAATGTGTATGAAAGTATGACAAAGTGTTTACGAAGAGTTGAACTTGTGAAAAGGAGCAGCAATTATTTGGTTATCGGAATGATTTTTTGTTTATGGACTTATATATAACCCCGTAGCGAAATTTTCACAGAATATCGCTTGCAATTGTTTTCGCATTAGGTGCTTATGTCAAATATAAAAATATGGTTCATTTTGTGAAAACTGAAGTTTTCGCCGACGTTTGAAAGAAATATTAATGAAGGCATGTACCGTTCATGAATTTTAATTATATATTAAGAATGGAAAGAAAGAATGTGTATTTCCCGTTTTTGTTTCACGGAGAAGGGGGTGGACGGAAAGCGGCTTATAAAATAGAACCAATTAACAGGTCACTACGTAAATGGCCCTTAAGGATTTATGGGCCAGTCCCCATCTACCGAAGGGTTTTGCAAGCTTAACACTTTGGGTTGCCGTTGACGAGCAACAACTACACGTTCGCTAATCACGTTCGAACATGATTTAATTAAAAGTCGATCCATTCGCTTGCTATTGTTTGTTATTTATGAAAGTCATTTATTATTGCATTTATAAAATGCTGATAAGGCCATTAGAGTTCTCTTAACACAATGAGCTTTTTATTTTCATTTATTGCTGTTGGTATATTGTTCTATTGCACTTTCTTTTAAGCTTTCGATTTGCTCATGTCTATTTTTCATTGGCGAAAAGCGTCAATATAAGCAGTAACTTTTCACGAAATGGACTATGGGCACTTTGATTGTTAAGAAATACGTCTGGCTGAGAATTTGATGGATTTGCTTTCTAAGAAATTTCGTAAGCCTTATTACTTTACATTAAAATTAATTGAAAATCATTTCAAGTAGATATGTATGCTTTACCTCACTGCCACATGCAATATGTATTATAAGCACTAAAAAAGTTTGCACGATTTTTATAAATGTTTGAAACTTGTTCAGAAACCGTTAATTTCGCACATAAACTAAAATAAAATTTGCAAAGAAAATATTAAAATGTCAACTGAATTTCTTACTTCAATAAATATTTTGATTTTTTTTTTTTTTTTTATTATTTTTCATCATCATCATCGTTGTTACTGCTGGTACTTCCTTTTAGTATTTCCTGAACCACATGAGAATTTATGCAATGACATATTGTATACGAGCATATACTTACACAATTTTACGTACAGGAAAAACTTTTATGATGAAAATGTAATTTTCTTCAAAATTTTGTAATGAACAAAAAAATTCTGCTCTTTCTCTTCATCCTTGTCGCACACTATGATCTTTCTTGCAGCGTCGCAGAATAAACTTTTACCCTTTAACCTTAGCATAAGCAGTACATATATAGTTTATATAAATATATATATATTTATATATATATAAGCTACATATAAACATATATATAAACTACAAGGATGCCTAGCATAAGTAAAGCAAAGTAAGAAAGGTTATCCGATAAGTCGCAATAGAGGGGAAAGTGCAAAAAGATAGCAAATTAAAAACTTATCCAATTAATTTCACTACCGGGGGAATATTCATATAAACACATGTGTGCATGCAGGTAAAAATACGCTCACCATACTTTCATTCATTTATATATGTACGACAAAAATGTGCCTAAATTAATAAAAAAAAAATTTTTTTACAAACTCTTTATAGACTATTATATCTGGGTAGGAGTTGAGATGATTTCATACACGTCAGCATTGTGTTGCATTTTAATGCAAATGAAGCTTAATTTTGTTAATGTCTTGTGGAGTACGTTATACCAAATTAAGAATTTCATGGGAATATTGTTCGTGAACGTTAACTTCTCAGCTTTACTTGAGCGACTTTACCATACAAAAATTTGCGCAATTCGCTCGTATTTTTAAAACTCTTGCAACTTCTCTACTAAAATCGCAACAACAAATGAATAAAGTCTTATTAGGATAGAAGAGAAGAGAAAATCGACAATAATAAATAATACAAATACAACAATCATATCATACATTTAAATCGGACCTTTGATGTTTCATCGATGAATTTTGGTTAGGGGAAATTTTCAAGTTCACTCTTATAAGGACTTTCTATTTTCAATGTAATATATACATGAGTATATGCGACTTTTTTTACTTCCTTTTTATATATTCGTCCTAATATTTCTTCGTTTTATATATGTGACGTTT